GGACGGGCGGTCGTCAGCGCCACGACCACCAGCTCTCTCGGTCGGCAGGCTATCCGGAGCCCGCCTAGATGGCGCCGGATAGAGTGGGTTATCCTACGGAATACCCAGCTGGGTCAAAACCAGCGTGGGTCGAGGATAGCCGGCCTTCCATCACCCGGATGCTCTTGCGTAAAACGCGTGCAGAGCAGATTGCACGTCGTCTTCTTAGGCCCCCTTCGCCGGTCCCCAAGCCGACATGTGAAGGGGACCCGAAATACTTAGGGGGCCAAGGCTTGGGCGAGATCTGCCCCCCTGACCCCCGCTCGACGGCGGCGGGCTTGTGCGTCTCTCACGCGCCCCGCCGCCTCCTTCTGCAAGATGGTGCACTCGCAGAAGTCGAGCATCGCCTTCCACGACTCGTCGTCGCCGAGCATCGATGCCACAACACTCGGCAACGACAAGTCGTTTCCTATTTTTGCGACCAGGACACGGCGCCACCCCTCCCATGCGGGGCAGGCAACGAGCGTATGCTCTGCCGTGTCCAAGTCGCAACCACAATGGTGGCAATCTGCCGTCGGCTCGGCTCTGATCCGGTGCAGGAACCCACCGAAGCAACCATGCCCAGTGAGTACCTGCGTGAGCCGGAATGTGAGGCGTCCTCTGTCACGATTCACCGAGTCAACAAGGACTGGGCCAATCGCCTCGACAGTCTTACGACCAGACGAAGGATCAGCCAGCCGCCTGGACCATGACTTCAGCACGGAGGTATTAATTTATCTAGTGTAATACGTACTTAACACGTGTTCACGAATGACAAACATCGTGTAAAACAAATCAAACCCGCAAAAATTATAATTTGTCTAATGGGTAATTGCGTGTGGCAAAGATTTAATGCCTTCCGTTTCGAAGTATCTAGCAAGCGTTATACAATTGAGACTTAAAGCTCATTTCTCAAGGTAGCATTCACATTGTGACCACAATGAGCCCCGGTAATCATCTAATGAGTTAGTTCACCCTTCTAAGCAAAATACAAAAAGAAACAACCAAGACCAAGAGTCATGCTTTTTTTTTAGAATCGAGTTTATAATAGATCCGTTTTCATACTAATTACTAAAATCGGCTAAAAGGACAGTTACCTAACTGGTCCGTTACACGGACAGACCGCAGATTTGTCATGGTCCGCCTGTTCACGTATTCACATCGTTTATCACAAATATCTGATTCAAAATTAAACGTGCATGAGAGTTATTTCACGTTTAATCTGTACTTTACGTGTCCCCATCAATCGTGTTTTTTTTTGTATTCCACCTAATCGTAGTCTTTCAAACAGTTTCATAGCTCCTAGTTGTATTAAGTATTTATATTCTGAATTCAGCATAATTCTAATTTTATTAATTCCACTAGGTCGACGAACAATCTTTTTCTTAAATGGCTAAATTAAGAAAATGAGTAGACGGCTCACTGCTGTACAGTAACAATGTCGGGCACAGCCAAGCTGAGAATTCTTTTCAAGCTTCGTTTGAAAAGGGCCGTATCAAAGATCTCGGGGAAGATAAGAATGATAACTTAAAACGCTCTATCGATGAACGCATCAGTTCTATGTAATAGGAATTATCTTTGCTCCAGTTACGTACAGTGCGACTGCAAAAAGGCAGAAGCTGATATCATCTCAAGCAATTATTTAGAGCACTTCCGATGGAACATGCGGTGCAAAACACAGAGTGCTCTAAAGTCTCTTTATAGACCGAGTGGATCCAAATCATTGTGAATATCAATCGGCATTCCGAATAGCCCTGCATAAAGTCAAATAAATTTGATTGAAATATTTGTGATTACCGAGATCCGCACACAAAATCTTGAGATATGAGATAAAAGTCTCAATTATATTATATAACGGATGTCCCACTACTTAACCTTTTTAGTGTTGAGCTTATTTTCATATATTTTGCAGAAATGCTAAAAGATTTATGAAAGAAAAAAAACATAAATAAAAATACAAATATATAAATTCACTTGCACAATACGTTATACCAACAGTTAAAATTTAATATGTTAGTAACAAAACCCAAATCCAAAATACCCACTGGAATTTAAAAACGGAGAGGATTGAAAGGAAAGCCGATTATTCTGAATTCAGTCACAAACAAATACATCCATTATGCAGTTGTATTGTCTAAATCCGACAGTCGCACGTTCCATGTTCCATGAACTTTCCGCTGGTTCTATGCATGCGCATGTTGACCAAATGCAACTTTAATGCGTTTATGCGCATAGCAAATTTTGTATAAAGAAAATTTACATTTTAAGACTTGCTACTTTCAAAGCGAAATTTGAAAACTGTTCTGTTTGATTATTACTACATAAATCTTAATGATTACATCAATCAGAAACATATATTAATATGTTCGGAACGCCCGTAAAAAGTTTAATTGCAAAGAAACAATTGTCATAAGTACATATTTTTATAAGTTTCTTTTTGTTTTATCAATGGTTGTCAATAATAAACTCTCAGCTACGAGATGTGCGTCTTATTTATTTATTTATTATTATTATTATTATTTTATAATTTTTTTTTATTATTATTTTTTTTATTGTAATATAAAATGTTCCTCATCAAAACCCAAAATATAAACAAGAAACCGTTCGCTACAATACATACCTACTAATATCTTGAAATAAAGTGTATTTTCTTCACTCTGCAGCTTTCATTACGATAAAGTAATAAGTACATATGTGTAAATATAACAATTCACAAAAAAAAAAATTAAGGTCAATAAATCCGTCCAAAATCTTGAATTAACAGGATTTATATTATATATTACGATTTATATTTACGACACGGGTGGTTTACGAATTACATAAAACATTACCAAATCTAACATTAATTACGATTTAGTTTTAATTAAATACAAAATATGACATATGGTATTTTTCACCAAGAAAAAAACACTATTCCACAGGGATATATATTTTTTTTACATTAACGTGAGTGAAGTCACGTGTAAAAGCTAATAAATCAAGAAATAACCAGTAACAATAGCATTGGATTACAAAAATAAATATGACAATCAAATAGTAGATAGATAGGGGTGAACGTAGTGAAAGTATATTTTCTTTATCCGACCGACCCAACGCAATTTCTGAAAAAATGTGACAAAGCCTATAAAGGCCATAGTGTTTCATTCCGAGAGTAGAGGCAAAATCGGCGACCGAGCGACCCGCCGAGAAATATCTACAATTCGCCACGATGTACAATATCAAAAAAAAAACTCCAATTGACAATTGACAAATGATCAAAATTAAATCATACCGATTAAGAATTCGACAAAAAAATTAACAAAGCTTAATAACATCAATAGCAAAATGGTAATCTAACAAAATAAAATCAAAGGCTATTTTATTTCAACATGTTTTGTGTGAGAACAATTTTAATTCAGTTTCGTTCATAGAGATTGCTTTCGGTGTAGGTACTTGAGGAAAAAGGATAGAGAGAAACTCATAAATCAGAAAGAAACGAATGGGCACGATGTCCAGTGAATTTCGGTATCGAAACAGATTGTACCTTCGAGGCTAGGAAGCCGCCACCAAAACATTACTTACACCCCAATAAATTCGTAAGCATCATACAAAGAGAAAGTTACACTCGGGATAGTAAGAAGTTTTACGGGATATCAGGAAACAAAAAATAAGCGTGTTTAGGTTATGTATTAAATACATTTATGTACGTTAAAAATATTTTGCAATAAGAAATGGCATTCGAAAACTTACCAAAAATATGATTATACTTACTACTATTATATTTAAAGTGTAAATAAACCAGTACTCGATAAACGATAAACGATTATGAAGTCGTCGTGGCCTAACGGATAAGATGTCCGGTGCATTCGTGTTGAGCGATGCACCGGTGTTCGAATCCCGCAGGCGGGTACCAATTTTTCTAATGAAATACGTACTCAACAAATGTTCACGATTGATTTCCACGGTGAAGGAATAACATCGTGTAATAAAAATGAAACCCGCAAAATTATAATTTGCGTAATTACTGGTGGTAGGACCTCTTGTGAATCCGCACGGGTAGGTACCACCACCCTGCCTATTTCTGCCGTGAAGCAGTAATGCGTTTCGGTTTGAAGGGTGGGGCAGCCGTTGTAACTATAATTGAGACCTTAGAACTTATATCTCAAGGTGGGTGGCGCATTTACGTTGTAGATGTCTATGGGCTCCAGTAACCACTTAACACCAGGTGGGCTGTGAGCTCGTCCACTCATCTAAGCAATAAAAATAAAATAAAAAAACGAACTGAAAATTATGTTCTCTTATTAAACCGCGCATAAATATCTATTGCTTTGTTAAGTGTACATTGCGAACACGCAATGTATTGCAACATTAGCTGACCTTTGCGCCCCGCTTTATTTACGATCGTAGATTCCGCAGATCTGTTCATTTTTAATTGAATAATCCACATTACGTGAATTGCGAGCAACATCAGCGAAATAAATATTTGGAACGTCTTTTATTACGGTCTCATTCATGATGAGCTTTATAAGCCCGCAAGAAGGATACTGTTAAGAAGCTTTCATCAAAATTATTAAGACCATATGAAAAACATTTTCTTACAATATCCATAAAAGTCTTTGATATCTCGTTAAGAAAAACGTTACTGTCAGAGATCACCAATTCTTACAATATGTCACCATCATTTCTATAGAAACACCCTATTTGATAGTTGACACATATAGATTCATGTGATATTCTTAAAAAATCTCCCTAAATAGAGCTCAATAGAGGTAATATAACTGGAAAAGGCACACTATAGTTTGACGTTAAAAATCAAAATATGTTACAAGTCTACATAGGTATAATAATAGTAGTTCGACATAAGCATTGAGAAAAAAGGAAACAAGACCAAAAAACAGGCAGTTTTATTCTTCGAACCAAAACTTTATTTAACAAGAACAAGTTTATTATCTTAGTGTAAAATAGTACGCGAGGTCACATAAACAAAAACCCCTTTCGGAAAGATGGTTGGCGCTTATCTAACAACTTTACTAGAAACCCTTACAGTGAAGATAAAACAACAAGTAGATCAAGCTGTCAGACCTGAAGCGACTGCTAGCTCTTTCAGTTTCCGAAGAAATGGAAACATTGGAAAAGTTTTTTGTGTATCTTATTTAAAAGTAATAATTCCCAGACAATCGACCGCGTCTCAATCAGATAAAGGACTCGGAAACGGATAGGACAAGGACTAACCGCAAAAAACTACATAATTTTGTACTTATTTAGAATATCTTTGGCAAATTATATCATATGAATCAATTGTAAATTTAAATATTCACGAAATCGGAGGTGGCTTGCGAAAATTCGGTTCAGTTAAATCATTAAACAATGAACATTCTTAGCTAATGACCGATTCGAGTGTTTTAAAAAAAATGAAATTAAAAGTAAAAAAAAAGAAAAATTAAAAAAGATGCTCGCAAAATCAACAAAATGAACGATATCAAACAAATACAATAATGTTTCTTTTTGATATGAAACAGGACAAAGTCTGCCAAGTCAACTACGAAATTATGATAAACTATTTGCTCAAGTTTACGATTCTTAGCACACAGAACAAACAAAACACCTGTGACATGACTACTGTCTTTTTTTTCGAAACATCGGATATTATTATAAAACAAATAAATTAAACGCAAATCTAAAACAAAAATCTATTCTAAATCTTAGAAGATTTAGAAATCGCCTATGCAGAATTTTAAAGTTTCGTATTTACAGATGGTAGGGCGTCTTGTGAGCCCGCACGGGTAGGTAACCATCTTACCTATTTTTGCCTCAATCAGCAATAAATTCCGGTTTGAAGAATGGGCCAGTTGTTACACCATAAAACTGGAATTAGGACTGAAATCTCAAGGTGGGCGGCAGCATTTACGTTTTTGATGGCTATAAGCTCAGATAACTACTTAACACCGAATGTAACGCGCTGAACTCACTGTTCGCCCGTATATCGTTTTGTAGTCGTCGTGGCCTAAAGGATAAGACGTCCGGTGCATTCGTGTTGAGCGATGCACCGGTGTTCGAATCTCAGGCGGGTACCAATTTTTGTAATGAAATACGTACTCAACAAATGTTCACGATTGACTTCCACGTTGAAGGAATAACATCGTGTAATAAACATCAAAACCCACAAAATGATAATTTGTGTAATTACTGGCGGTAGGACCCTCTAGTGAGTCCGCGCGGGTAGGTACCACCACCCTGCCTATTTCTGCCGTGAAGCAGTAATGCGTTCCGGTTTGAAGGGTGGGGCAGCCGTTGTAACTATACTTGAGACCTTGGAACTTGTATCTCAGGGTGGGTGGCGCATTAACGTTGTACATATCTATGGGCTCCAGTAACCACTTAACACCAGGTGGGCTGTGAGATCGTCCATCCATCTAAGCAATAAAAATAAAATAAAAATGAAAAACATATTGCAATATCGATATAAAAAAAACTAACCTAAGGTAATTTTACAGTGCGTGGTCACACGGAAGTCCGCGTAGAACTTCAGATGGAGCGTTGGGCGGCGCGGGGAGGATCGGTCCGATTACGCTGCGTTCACGACGTTCCAGCTCACCTGCTTGACAAAGTGGTCTTCCTACGTCACGGAACAAAGATCTTCCAATACATACGAGACAGGAAACCGCCGTACAGAAACTTTACAACACCCGGTGCTGTACTCAATGTAAGTGCATAATATATTTTTTCTTAAATGCTCAAGCATAATTAACGTTTTATAATTCTAGCGATATGCTCCGTATACCGATATGCTGCGACCGTATGCACGTCTGCTTACCAGGACAATAAAAAAAAAATCAACACTATTACCAAACTGCTTAAAAATTTATGTGCAGATTAGATAATTTTGTTTTCCCGATCCGAGTATTATGTGGGTTGTCTATGTGTTTGTTTGTTGTCTCGCGTAAAAAATACCCTAACGCGATAAAATACAAAATATAAATAGGTACATTGTATCATTTAGGTCCGGACCTAATAATAATAACGCTACTTTATTGCGTATTAAGGCAATTTCCGAAAAAGAATATTGTCAAAATGTTTTTCTGTTCAGGCTTCAGAAAAAACGTTTTCGCAAGTCCAACCTTAGTGTCAGATGGCAGCCGGCTGTAAAACTTTTGGTCCAATATTTTATACTGCGAGCATGTACTAAACTACAAAGTCGCCTAGAATGACTATTTCATCTGTTGGGGTTCACGTTATTCTTGTTTCGTATCGATAACACAGATCAAGTAGTCTTTTCCTAAGATCTCTTTCGAGCCAGCAGTAAGTGATGACTATGGTCATCAACAATTTTATCAGTAGCCCGTGTAACAACACGCTCAGGTACTTCTCGTACACTTTTCTATGTTAAACTTCTTCCGTAACATATAACAGGGCAATAGTACCAGATTTTAAACTAGAAGAATACTTCTTAATTTTTTACCCAGTAGATAAAATGAGATCACAGTCGATCTGGCATTGAGTGCTTACCGAAATCTATAGACATCACAAAGTTAAGGCCGCCTTGAAATATGTGATCAAAGTCGCTATTGTATTTTATAACTAGCTGACCCGGCATAATTCGTAGTGCCTCAATCGATAACTAAAAGACCGACAGGGGACGCATCAAAGGAAAAACAAAATTGTTATTTTTATTTAATTCCGAGCATTTTCATATTTATCTACCTTTTAAACCTTCTATGGACTTCCACAAATAATTCAAGACCAAAATTAGCCAAATCGGTCCAGCCGTTCTCGAGTTTTAGCGAGACTAACGAACAGCAATTCATTTTTATATACAGAGAGATAAACTCACCACGGTTCCCACCGTTCAAACCAGAGCGTACGACTGCTTCGCGACAGAAATAGACAGAATGATGATGGTGATGGTGCCACGCAGGCTTACAATACGTTCTACCACCACTAGATATGTTTTTTTACTTAACATGTGAACGAAATTATAACATACACAAAATATTTCTACATTTAAAATAGAAGAGCCACCGCATTTACGTCATCATAGCCAGTGTGGGCCGTAAAAGAATACATATATATAAATCCTCTTTCCCCAACGTAAAACGTATGCTTCCCTGTTGAATTATGTATAAAACACACATGTACAACGTAAGTACAACGTACACCTTTATTACGATACAGTTTTATATGAAGGCTACGATTACGATCGTAAATTACTGATTCGTTTACTATAAAAATTAACGTCTGCAACTTGTTTTTAAAATATTTTAGATTCGTCTTTATTTTGGTTGGTTCGAAAATCTTATTTTATTTTTGTTGCTCTAATAATCTACATTATCATAATACGATTAGCGTTTAAATTGCCGACGCAGCGCTTGTAAGAAAAACTTGTTTAAATGCCTATTAATCTCTTTCGCAGTAGGCGGGAACACGTTCAATGAATGATTATGTATTCCCGAGAGGTGTCTGCTTCTGAGTATATCTAGATAAGTTAAGGTTAGATCTAATAATCACATTGCTTGGAAGATAGCTGAAAAGATTCTTAGATTGTTATTGCCGTGGAATTAATAACATTGACGAAAGTGACTAAACCGAAAATGATGATAGCTCTGTCTATGAAATAAAACACATAAAATTAGACATAAAAGACACACAGCGAGCAAAATAGAACACATACGAGCATATATAGTAGAATAACGATCGCTAAACTAAGATAATATCAATTATTTTGATTAAAAAATGAAATGAGATTTCCAAAGTTTTCAAAATAACTGATTATAAATTTTGAGTATTTGAGCAATCAACAAAAAAATGTTAGAAATTAAATAAGGCTATAAAGCTTCAATAATAATTACAACTCTTGAGGAGCTATAAAATACTATGCCATCACTGAAAACTAAGTTCGGAATTAAACAAATTTTTTTTTCTTGCTTAGCTGGATCGTCCGATCTCACAGCCCACCTGGTGTTAAGTGGTTACTTGAGCCCATAGACATCTACAACGTAAATGCGCCACTCACCTTGAGATATAAGTTCTAAGGTCTCAGATAGTTACAATGGTTGTCCCACCCTTCAAACCGAAACGCATTACTACTTCACAGCAGAAATAGGCAGGGTGGTGGTACCTATCCGTACGGACTCACAAGAGGTCCTACCACCAGTAATTACGGAAATTATAATTTTGCGGGTTAGATTTTTATTACACGATGTTATTCCTTCACCTTGGAAGTCAATCGTGAACATTTGTTGAGTACGTATTTCATTAGAAAAATTGGTACCCCCACCTGAGATCCGAACACCGGTGCATCGCTCAAACCGAATGCACCGGACGTCTTATCCTTTAAGGCACGACGACTTTTAATATTATTAATCTATCTTCTATCTTCTATCTATCTATATATATAAAAATGAATTGCTGTTCGTTAGTATCGCTAAAACTCGAGAACGGCTGAACCGATTTGGCAAATTTTTGTCTTGAATTATTCGTGGAAGTCCAGAGAAGGTTTAAAAGATGAAAAAATACGAAAATGCTCGCAATTATATAAAAACAAACAATTTTGTTTTTCCTTTGATGTGTCCCCCGTCGGACGGATTCCTTTTGTTTGTTTGAAGTTTATTTTATTTATTTATATAGATTGAGGCACTACGAAGTCTGCCGGATCAGCTAGTTAAATATAAAAACACAATAGAGCGTGCACGTCGATCGACAAATTTCGTTTCGCATCGTCAAACTAATGAGAAAGCAGCGAGCTACTCGAACGAAATTTCTTAAATATGAACACGACTGAAAATTTACAAACGCAGTGGGACTCGGGGCCGACTAACGCCCCGGGTTGAGTTAATTTTCCGGGTCAGTATTACCTCCAGGGTACCCACACTTGAAGCGGTGTTTGAAACCGTTTTGTTCACTTCACTTCCCGGCACTTCTCGGCCGGTTGTACGTTGTNAGAAAGCAGCGAGCTACTCGAACGAAATTTCTTAAATATGAACACGACTGAAAATTTACAAACGCAGTGGGACTCGGGGCCGACTAACGCCCCGGGTTGAGTTAATTTTCCGGGTCAGTATTACCTCCAGGGTACCCACACTTGAAGCGGTGTTTGAAACCGTTTTGTTCACTTCACTTCCCGGCACTTCTCGGCCGGTTGTACGTTGTGTTTTCCGTTTCAGTTTAAAGTTTTAAGTGGAAATACGGCTGGTGGTAATTTAAACGAAACATAATAACTTTAAAGAGTTGAACAAAAGATAAAACTTTGCTGAAAGTATCTTCAATAGAATATTGTCTACTAGCAAGAAATATACAATTTCAAATACAATATTCTTCCTACACATAATTTAATCTGAAATAGAAATTTGAAACATAAACATTGTGGTTACCTTACGGACAAGTTTACCAGAGACGCCTATTCGCAAGCTTGCTGCTTAATTGTGTAGGCACTAATGAATTAAACGTTGCATGCTCTAATTTAACAAAAACAGTGTTACAATCAATTTTGAAATATACCAATGTGCGGCAACTGTTTCCCAGAACAAAAAACTTTAGTAGCGATAGTAAATACGAACAAAAAAAGGCGGTGCCTAAAAATGGTACTTCAGTCCAGGGTACTTCAGGATTAAGTGTTCCGTGTTTGAAACTCAAATTTTTTTTAATGCTTAGACGAACTCACTGCCTACCAGGTGATCACTGATTACCGAAGCCCATAGGTATTAACAAAGTAAATGCCGCCACAAACCTTGGGACATAAGTTGTAAGTCAGTTTTATGGTACAACCAGCAAGGGCAGGAGGCCGAATCTATGCGGCATCCGTGCCTAGGGGGCACGCAAGCTATGTGAGACTTGACGGTCTGCAGGTGTTAGAAGCCGACCATGGGCCCAAGAATAATTTTTAGGGCCCCACCGGACCAAACGGCTCCAACTTGCACTCTCATACCCGACGTACGATCTCCGACCGGGGTCAGAACCCGGTCAGAGTAGGGGGGTCCCGCCGTCAACAGGACAACAACAACAACCAGACTCGCGGCGCTACCCCAAGGACGCCCGACCAACGGGTCGTCCAGGCGATCGGCAACGACCAACGACGCCGCTCTCCGCGGTACGGTGGCCCAACAGGCCGCCTGTGCGATGTCGCTGGTGTTCCAAGATACCCCACTCAATCAGAATTAGCCTGGCGGGACGGAACGCGATACACCGCCGACCGGGTTGCTCTTCCACAGTATGTTCGGTGACGACAACAACGACGGCAACGCGGATGGTAGCCGCCGACAAGTCGTCCCATCCTCCTGATACCAGCGCGCTAGAGTTATTGTAGCTTGCGGCGCAGCCTCTACCCCCTCAGGTCACACCATGACCATCAACGGGAGGAGACTGCCCCCTTACCCGGACCGGAGATGGACGAACGCCTTCCTCCGACCCCCGGCCCGAAGGCCCGGTACGGCGCGGAAAGGAAAGAACAGCTCTTTTTCTCCGGTTCGGCCGCCTCCTTCTGCCAGATTATGGACCCATAGAAGTCGAGCATCACCTACCACGACTCGTCGCTGCCGAGCATCATATCGACGACGGTCGGCAGCGACAAGATAGTATACAACCGCTGCCCCATCCTTGAAAGCGAAACACATTCCTGCTTCACGGTTAATGGGCATGGATGTAGTACCTAGCTATAATGGGTCCCAAGACGTGCTACAAATAGAATACGAATTCATAAGCTTAGAATGGTCAATTTTAGAAGGAACATAACATTCACAATATTCATTCGCAAATCTAATAAGAAAACATCACCCATGCGTCCTGACTATAACGCATTTGACTAAGTTTAAGAAGTAAATTTTACATAAGGAACGTTTCCAAAATCTAGTCTTAAGAAAAATTTCCTTAACAAGCTCCCAGGTTGTATGTCTAGTTTTGCGGGTTTATAATTATAGGTAAAATTATTTCGGCTGCCGAACCCAATGCTCGGTAATTAAGACAATTTCAAGTGATCAAAATATTTCTTTGTCCGTATAAAATATAGTATTTTGTTCGGTTTTAGGCTTCGATCAACAACTATATACCTATACTACTATTGTTGATCGAAGGCTTTAGGCGAGTCGTAGACATTTTGAATTTGAATCGTATATGAATATTGTGCTTAGTTATTGTTATTCAAACGAAAACTGTATTGTAGTATTCCAAATGTTGAAAATAATACCCAATTGTCGCGGTATTTTGGTCAGAAGCCCCAAAATATCTTTATCAATGGGATCATGTACCTATTTACTAGGTGGCAAAAAGTTATCGAATAAAATGGTACCTACATACTTTAGTTAAATGTAAATAAACTATACTAAAAAATGTTATGAATTTTCTTAAAAAATGCGAAGTAACTTTTCCCCAACCTATTAATATAGTGACAGTAAAAAAAACGCGAGATCAAACAGTTAAAAAGTAGTTTTAATTACGTTTAAAATATTTATCTATATATTAATACGTGAAGCAAAAACTTTGTATCCCTTTTTACGAAAATTGCACGGACGGAGGAGTATGAAATTTTCCACACTTATAGAAAATATAGAGAAGAAGTGCACAATGCTAATATTTTTTTAAAATAATGCATAAAAGATACATTAAATCAATAAAGAAAACATTACACACACTACATACCATGTATTTGATGCACACACGCATGCATACTATTTATTGTCAAACTTTTGTTCTTGGCGTCTGTTGTCAAATTGAGAATAGATTAAATATTGTTTGTCTTTGTTAGTATTTTTTATAGTGTAGTTTTGGCGAAATTTATGATTATAGAAGTATAAAATACAATCATAGTAGTGTACAAACTTACAATTCCAATTGATTATAGTCGAATTTTGACTACTGCGGGACCTCTAGTTTATGAGAAATAACCTTAAGCCACTTCTCCCGTGCCTTTAAAACTTCAATACATTTATAGACGTATGTAGATTGGCAGAGGCAACTTTGAAATTAATTTTAACAGCCATGAAACCACTATGGTTTGTTCAAAAGTGCATTTAATGATTTGGTTAGGTAGTTGGTCTTGCATAGCATTGCATGCCAAACGCTCATTTCGCTATAGGAGGGCGTAACAGGTCGACCCGACTTCCAGGTCATACCGAGAAATGTTATTATCTAGCTACTTAAAATTTTGAAAGACTTCACACCAATCAATTGTTTAAATAGAAGATTTTTTTTAAATCATTAAAAGTCGTTCCTTATTGTGGTTCACGAAGTCTTTGTAATTTATTTAAAGTTTATCGAGAAACTTGTTGTTCAGGGTAGGGTCAACGGTAAAAGACCTCGTGGATGAAGCCCTATGCACTGGACTCTCTTCTATATCGTTCCCTCACTACTGAGGATCGCGACCACATGTGACGTTCTTCCACTGTGCTCGATCATGGGTAACATGAACTGCATGGTACAGACTACCATCAAGTGCTTCTCTTACTAGATCTGACCATCTGGCTAGTGTTCTGCCCACGGCTGGACTGATCAAGTAAAAACCCTTACCACTAAACTAAATTTAAACCCCACTTAACGAGTACGTGCACCAATCCTCAGTTCGCGTATTATGGAGAACTGCTGTCAAGGCTATATTAAACAAGGATCTCATATGACCACGACTGCTCTGCCAAGAGTAACCGAATATCATAATGAATCCATAAAACCATATCTTAGCATACATACACACAACGTATCATAAAAACCAGTTTCTAATAAATTGACATACCACATCTTACGGTCACTTCACGCCAGAAATTAATTATTATTTTTATTGCGTTAAGGGTGTGCGAGCTCACGGCCCACCTAGTGTTAAATTGTTACCGGAGCCCATAGACACCTACAACGTAAATGCCGCCACCCACCTCGAAACTGGTGGTAGGACCTCTTGGGAGTCGCACGGGTAGGTACCACCACCCCGCCTATTTCCGCCGTGAAGCAGTAATGCGGTAAGCAGTAAATTCGGTTCAAGGGGTGGGGTAGCCATTGTAGCTATACTGAGACCGTAGAACTTATGTTTCGAGTTGGGTGGCGCATTTACGTTGTAGATGTCTACGGGCTCCAGTAACCACTTAACACCAGGTGGGCTGTGAGCTCGTCCATCCATCTAAGCAATTAAAAAAAAACATAAGTTCTAAGTCTCAGTTTTAACAGTACAACGGCTGCCCTACCCTTAAACCGAAACGCATTACTGCTTCACAGTAGAAATAGGCATGGTGATGATACCTATCCGTGCGGACTCAAGATGTCCTACCACCAGTAATTACCCAAATTATAATTTTGCGGGTTGGATTTTTATTACACGATGTTATTCCTTAACCGTGGACGTCAATCGTGAACAATTGTTAAGTACATATTTCATTAGAAAAATTGGTACCTGCCTGCGGGATTCGATGCCTCGCTTGATACGATTGAACCGGGCGTCTTTCCTTTAGGCGACGACGACTTGTTACCGTGTGACTTGTAAATTGACATAGTAAATTAATAGGTAGCAAGAGGATTTAAAACTAGACCACACTCAACATGACTACTGAAGATTATCTCAAACGAGCCATATTTTTCCTCTGGTCTTAAAATTCCCGTATACACTTCGCTAGTGAATTTAAAAACATGAAGTCTTTTTACCTGAAACATAATTTGGAAAATTTAATTACTCTGGTTTGAACGTGTCTTCTTTGAATTAAGAAACAGGAAGTAGCATTAATTAGCAACATCAAAAATATTTTGCACCCGGAAGAAAATTAAAAATGTCCGTATTTAATTGTCACTTTCAAACAATTCTACTTGACTTCTTGATCGTTAACTTAAGTATGTATGTATCTTATAGGAGATCAAGGAATCCAAAAGACGCACATTTTCAAATGAAACAATTGAAACTTATATGACACAGATGACGATTGTATTCTTCAATCTTCTAAATAGCCTGTCTCATCGTGTCGATGTGGTCTACGTGGTACAGTACCCTGTAGCCTTTGCGGAACCTACCTTGTTCCGGGGGCTGGAACTCATCAAGTCTAGAGGCCAAGCGACTATTTATTTATTAATTTATTACACTTCATGTAAAATTTACATTGGCGGACTTAATGCCTAAGGCATTCTCTACCAGTCAACCAAAGGTAGTGCAGAGTGAATAGTGGTAGGTGCAATGAAATTTACTATTAAGAGTAGAACTATTAAGGGTAGAACATAGAATAGAACAGGAGTACATAGATATATTATAAATATTATATAACTCTATGCATTTAATAGCATATACTGGTACAATACCTACAACGGCCTGCCTTACCCATAAATCAACGAAAACAAAATAAAATGTGAAGTACCTATAAATTTAAATTATTTCTTTTGAAAATGTGCGTCTTTTGGATTAGTTGATCTTTTATAAGACACATCATAATAAAGTTAACGATCAACAAACAAGTCAAGTAGAATTGTTAGAAAGTGAAAATTCAATACAGACATGTTTAATTTTCTCCGGGTGCAAATTTTTTTACTTAAAATTTCAACCTCGTGGCATCAGATAGGTGAAAAGAACTGATTCTATGGCATTTTGTATGGGCTCCGGTAACTTAAGATATCATCAGATGGGCCGGTAGCTCGTCGTCTACCTATATAGTACTTTAAAAAAATATTGTATTGTATAGACAAACAAAACAAATTCCTTTGTGAAAATCACCTTATCGGTCGACAGCCTAACATGTGTTGGACTTGCATTTCTGATAATTTAAGCCCCTTAAATTAAAAAGGTGGTAGATAAAATTATAAATTATTTACGACTTATTTTTTAAACGCCAGCTGCGTTATCCTACATAAGAAAAAAATAGGTTGGTAATGTTTTTTTTAAATACACACAATTGTTTTTCTATTTATTTTATTTATTCGTTTTCTAGAAATAAATAGTTAAAAATATATACATTTTATAAAAAACATTCGAATATTGTTTATAACTCGCGACAGTGTAAGCAAAATATATTTACCTAACTCGATTCGTTCTGTGAGATTTGTAAAAATGTTTAGGTTATCAGGTTATTAATTTTATCGTTTATCCAAGCATAACTTACAAGCAGAAGCAGAAACGTTTAGAAAGAATTCATAATTTATCAAAAAATGGAAAATTAATTGAATTCTATTTTTCTTTATACTACAAATTTCTTATACTAAAACCTATGGTGACCAACTTAATGCTATTTCACATTTAAATTTTTTCAGATTGCTTTAGCGACGGAAAACTCAATAATTCTTCAAAATTTGGACTTTGCCGCAAGCGGAAGCTACTCTTGTGAGGTATCACTTGACACCCCTATATACACTAAAGCGTCCAGTGGAAAACAACTCACTGTTTTTCGTAAGTATTTTTTTTTCTTTCTGTTTGTCACAATGCAGACATGACATTATAAAATGACATTCACATTATCAAATAGGTACATGAAACTAATCTAAAACAAGAATTTTAATTTTATAAATGTTTACTTGTGAACTAAACACTACTTCGGTAATTTATTATGTTGTATTTTGTCACTTTGGCCTGGATGAAACAGAACTCATCCGATGCAAGCCGAAGTCAAGGTGACCCGTTTCGCGTGAACCGTATGTTTCCCCGTCACCCTGCTCCCATTATAATAATATGTATATACCGAGCCGGCGAGCATTGCCGTCACTAACACGGGGCCACTTGGTCGGCGGGGTATCCGATGCCAGCCTAGACGGCGCTACCAATACATCGAGATTCCCCGCTGGATTTACAAAGAGACTTCGGTTCTCTCTGCGTTTTATGTCATTCCCAAGTTTCACAGAAAGTGCTCTAAAAATTGTTCAAGACAGCCCTTTTATCTCTTTTTTACCACTGCTGTTTTTGAGTGGACGAACGGTGAACGAATATTGGAATGAAATGGCTGAGTACATATGGAATGTGGCAAAAAGTCATCGTGTGTGTGATGTCATCGGGAAAGAAAATTAAAAATTAAAGATAAATAGACCTGGTGGTAGTAGAGCAACAACGTTCAAAAAGCGCGTAAAGAAAAGAAAAAACCTTTAAAAAATGTCAGAACGCAGATTCCCCAGATTTGGTTACGAAAGAGAAGTTGAAGACAGCATATAAAAAAAACAAGAAGGTATTTGTTGATTTGGAAAAAGTGTACGATAAGATTCTCCGTGAGTTTTTGTGGTGGAGCATGAAAATAAAAGGAGTGCCAGGGAAAAGGGAAAAGAAATACCAGCAGCTCGTTCGAGCTATGTACGGTAGAACCAGTACTTACAGAATCAGTACGGTTAACAGGATATGGACATGGGATGCGTAAAGAGGAGATGCATGTGACTAGGAGATGTATGAAAATGGTAGTGCAAGGTAGAGGGGGAAGAGGTCGACCGAAAAAGACATGGACAAAGTATGTGAATGACGATATGAGAGAGAGAGGAGTAAGTGTTGAGATGACGGCTGATAGAAGAGAATGGAGTAGAAAAATTCGCTGTGCCAACCCCACCTAGTGGGATAAAGTAAAGACAAAGAGGAGTATTTATCCACAGTGTATTTTTAGAGACATTTTTGAAACATTCCATTCGACTCTCGAATGAACTCCCGCTGCTCTCCGATCGCTACAACATTTCGTTTTTCGAATTAAGTTTGAGGATAGTCCTCAACAGTAGGCAATGGCATTTGGCTGTGCATTGCTAATGTCCTTGAACAACTACAACTGCAACAAACAAAAAAATGAGAATCAGCTTAGGTCAGAGGTACGGGCATATGACTCCTGGTCGTACGCTCGTCGCAATAGAGAATCTTACTAGTAGATAGGATAAAGAAGCTTACTAGTAGTCTTGAATCTGGCTCGCTTGTTCTCAAACTGGTATACAGAGGGGACCCAAAACAGTTAAGGGGCCAGAATTCGGAGGGGATTTCTATTCTTGCCTGGTATAATTATATGCAAATTTCTATTTTCATGTAAATGCCCGGACGAGCTCGTGGCTTAGCTAAATTCGGACGGTTGCAAATCCCACAGATAGCATTATAAAAATTGAGTTTGAATTGCAGTTATAGTATTTGTGAAAATGAGTAAAATCTCAATCAAAAACTATTCAAAACAGCAGGAATTTACTTTTTGGTATTCAATAATAGAATCAGTCCATCATGCCAAAATATATTTATTTGTTGTAACTGTACCAACGTGCTCACGGCCGACTTGGTAAAAAAATAATTACTAGAGGTCATCGACGCCCCAATGTGAATTACCTACTACCTACCTCGAGACCTCGCTTTGTATCAAGACTATCCTGCTGTTATAACAGGAACGCATAACAGCTTGGCAGAAAGATATAAAAGTGGTACAATATACCGATGAATTCAATATATTCCCGATGGTGGATTACCAGAAATCATAGCACCGGCAAATTAACTAACCGGCAGCGGTTTATTAAATTTGAAAAAAAAATCAAACTGTGATTAACAATTACTTTGTTTCCCGTGGAAGTCACTGATGTGTTTGATACGGATAATCTAAAAAAAATGTACTTACCGTCAAGTTTATTATAAAACTCGGCATCTAGTCTCGTCACTATAGTTACATTACTCAATACGGATACGCTGAATTCTCTTTCATTAAAAATTAAGTTAATCTTAGGTTTACATGAGTCGACAAAAAATGTCGGCAAAGACCTTTGCGGTTCTTTTAATAGGTAATTGTTTTATTAGGTTTTCTCATGTTCCCGTCGAAAATTTGTGTACCGGGCTATTAATAGGTGCAATGAGACCTCCTCTATTTGTGACAGAAAAAGATCTGGTCGTCCACGAAGTGTTCGTACGAAAACGGTGGTCAAAGCAGTAAGGGAAAGAATTCGAAGAAATCCTGTCCGAAAGCAAAATCTCGGGAGATGAAGATAGCACCTAGAACCATGTCGCGTATTTTAAAAGATGACTTAGGACTTGCAGCCTATAAGAGACGTACTGGTCATTTCTTAACTGATAATTTAAAAGAGAATAGGGTTGTAAAATCGAAACAACTACTAAAGCGGTACGCAAAAGAAGGTCATAGAAAAATTTTATTTACGGATGAGAAATTTTTTACAATTGAGCAACATTTTAACAAACAAAATGACCGTATTTATGCTCAAAGCTCTAAGAAAGCTTCCCAATTAGTCGACAGAGTGCAACGTGGGCACTATCCGACTTCAGTGATGGTTTGGTGGGGTATTAGCTATGAAGGAGTGACTGAGCCATAATTTTGTGAAAAAGGTATCAAAACATCGGCACAAGTGTATCAAGATACCATTCTTGAGAAGGTAGTGAAGCCCCTTAAGAACACCATGTTCAATAATCAAGAATGGTCCTTCCAGCAAGACTCGGCGCCAGATCATAAAGCTCGGTCTTCGCAGTTTCGCAGTCTTGGTTGATACGCCATGATAATTTGGAGTCCCTAAAACAATCCGTACTATTGACAGTGAAAATTTTTCCCATGGAAAGAGTGCGTGCTTCTATTGATAACTGGCCTCAACCTTTAAAGGACTGTATTGCAGCCAATGGAGACCACTTCGAATAAGCTTTTTATACTTTAAATTGTTTTATATTTATGTATTAAACTAACACACTGTAAAAGTAATAAATGTTATTTGCCATAGAATTTTTTTTGTTTTCCTTTGTAACAGTATTTATGGCCAGACTAAGTATACATATAAATAAGTTACCCTGAATAAGAAATTCCAGAAAAATATTTTAGTTTATTATATGGTTTTTCCCAATCATTTGAAATCATCGATAAGGTGTGGATTATTTACTTAAAACTATCTAGTTATAAAATAAGATTTTTGAAAACAAAAGCCAGGCATATCCATAAAATTGATTTTTAATCCCAAAAGATTAGCTACGGTGCGTAGTAGATGATAACCAACATAAATAAAATTACTTATCACTCATTAGTAAAACTTTGTTAATGCATTTTTATGACCGGTTATTAAAAATTCGTATCAGATTAACAAAATAATCGTTAAGTTGAAAATTTAATTATAGATTAGAAAAAATGTTACAAATATAAATACCGAAACAGCTCCCACATTATTAACCATCAACGATGCGTTCGCTAGTGTTTTTCATTTTGTGCTTTGTGACCTACACAAGTAGTGAAAGTAGCGCCAACGAAGAATTTGTAGGATGGCTCGAAAAAGTTGGCATTAAAACGGCTGCAAAGATTAAGCAAGCGGAACAACACCAAATATTTATGCAGCGCATCGTTGGGGGAGCTATTGCGCCAATCAATTACCATCCATATTTGGCAGGTCTACTGATTGATATTAATGAATTGCAATCACCGGCCGCGTGCGGCGGATCGATCCTTACCCCTGCCAGCATCTTAACTGCAGCTCATTGCTGGTTCGATGGAAGAAATCGTGCAGTACGTTTCACTGTCGTACTGGGAACCCCATTCCTGTTCCATGGTGGCTTAAGGATTCAAGCGTCTTCCATTGCAGTTCATCATCAATACGACTTCAGAACGTTTGCAAATGACATTGCAATGCTGTACTTACCCCGTCGTATAATATTCAACCATGCGGTACAGCCAATTCCATTAGCCACTGATTCGCTTCTAAGCACTGACAAGGCAGGCATGTGGGCCGTTGCAGCTGGATATGGAAGATATTCTGATGTTATAAATCCTACGACAAACACGATGGCGAGAAATGTTTTTCTACAAACTATATCCTTAGAAACCTGCCGTGGCTATTACGGTAATGTAGTTTTGGATTCTAACATCTGCACTAGTGGAGTTGGCGGTGTTGGTATTTGCCGAGGAGATTCTGGAGGCCCATTAACTATTAACCACCAAGGAAAAGAATGGCTCATTGGTGTTAGCTCATTCGTGGCAAGGGACGGCTGCGAATTAGGTTTCCCGTCTGTTTTCGCCAGCGTACCTTCCTTCAGGGCCTGGATCCAACATCACATGATATTTTAATAGCGAAATAAAAATTTCATGATGACACGACTAAAACTTGCTTATTTTATTTGTCAATGCAATAAGATTTCATTGAAAATTTCCTAAAAGGCCCATTTATTAAAATGCTACCGTCCGATATTCGCCAAGACCGAACTGGTAAATGTCAAGGAAAGAAAATGGCTAAAACCTGTCTAACCATTTGACAATGAAATGGCAGTCGACATCGTCTTCGGCTACGGGACTTGGATAGCCGAACTTGAGCACACAGTGCCACATGCATCTCTGAAAAAACCCGCTGAATCAAAACCACAGTGTATTATGAAATGGAACGTTCGACCAGTGGCACCAAGGCGGCCATTGTCCTTCAACCCCGATCCGAAAGAATCGGATTGTTGCAAAGAGAAAATAAATCTATCTCTAGCCCCACGCCTACGGCTGCGATGTTTCATTTCCAAGAAAGAATACACATACCCTCCAATTTTCAACCAATATAATTCCAATATTATCTATCTAAACAAAAAACTTTTTGTACAAGAAGATAAATTGAAAATAATGTTAAAGATAATAGGTTCATTATAGAAAAAAAACAATATATAACATTATTCAGAAGAAAATCAAAGTATACCAATAGTTTCAACGTTTATAGTCGCTTTTAAAGAAACAGAAAATTAAGTCAGAAAACGATAGAGTGACAGCCATTTTACAGTACAATTAAGCCATGAGCCTTACGTTACAAGGTGTGTGCAGTCGCATGACTTACAAGTGGTAGGGCGTTTTGTGACCCCGCACGGGTAGGTACCGCTATGACCATTTCTGCCGCGGGGCAGTAATGCGGTCCGACTTGAAGAAAAAGCAGACGTTGCACTATAGAAGAACTGAGACTTAGAACTCATATCTCAAGACGGGTGGCGGCACTTACCTTATGGTGGAGATTGATGGGCTCCGGTAACCACTTAACACCAAGTGGACCGTGAGCTCGTTCGTACGTCACAAAAAAACGGCAAAATCACATATCAAATTTTAAAACCATATTCGTACTTTTGTGAATTTAATTTTATCACAACAACTTTCTATTGATTTTCACAATCACTGACAAAATGTCAACATTGTAACAGTAGGTTAAAAGTTCAATCAGCCTCCCCAATTTCAGGAAATTAGCTAATGGATGATAATATCCGGTAGTTTTTTGCAGCTATTTTACCTTTTGTTGATTTGATTCTTGTAAACAGAATGTTATTGTAACAAATCGTAAAGTATATTTTGTTATGAACGGTGAGGAATTTGGAATAAATATAAAAACAGAGTTTGAATTAAGAATTTTGTAGAATATGAAATCAACTCACTGGTAGAAATGGCGGATTATTTTTATAACTCGACATAAGAAAATTTAGTTGTATGTGAAAAAACTTGTTTTAAAATAATAATACGCAATACCTACTTACTCGCAAATATGACTTCTAATGCCCAGGCTATCATGACTATGAATACGATGATACTATGCTATTTCTTCTTATTACTGCAAACAGAATCAGCTTTATCAACGCTTTTACAATAGAGTGTATCTGTGTACTGAAAACTTTCAACGGAATTTTCACCAACTTGAAGATATCCGCTTTATTTTGAAATTTACAGACGTAAAACGACCAGTAACAATGCAATAATTTTATACTTTGATCTAATATATACCAAGATTACGAGGTTAAAAATCATATGTTTTACTTACTGTTACTTGTGTTACTTTTTAAATCCGCTTGCTATTAGAGCGTGATTTAAACAATCGTGTATATCGTAACTATGTAGGATATATAACATACACTAATTATAAAAATAAACCACAATTAAATCCACAAGCAAATTTAATTTCTAATAGAATCTTGTTAACCGGTGTAAAAACTTTTAGTTCTTATATTAATACCTACTCTCGTCCTACTCTACTCTAATACCCAACAGATCCACAGAAGCATCACCCACGTATCGACTTCCCGACTCGCTACCTAAGTTCAGGGGAGACGTTACGAGCTAACTGTACAACAGCCCCCGCCCTCCCAGCGCCCCATATAACCTGGTTCATCAATGGGAAGAAGGTAATCAAATTAACACGATCAAATCTTATGATTCATCGTCTAAGCAATCTTTCTACCTGTTAAAATATTTCCTAAATTCATGCAAAGAAAAACCTTAATTATTTAAAACTACTTAGTTTTTAAAAAGGATTTTTCTTCAGTGTCATTCGGTGTCATGGAGTAAAGTATGTCATTCGGAAAAAAAAGGTTTCAGTTTTATATAGTTTATACCTACTCTTTACTGTTTAATTTTAAAAGAGATTGATTACATATAATAAGGGCTCTAAATATTGTTTTCTTATTATATCACAGAAAACACAATTAAGTCTTTTATTGTTCACTCATTCTGAAATACTAATCATATCATTCATATTCATAAAATAATTAATTCATATTAAATAAAATTCTTAATAATAATACTTCGTATTCATAAATAATTTTTTTTCAATGACAAAAATAAATTTAATTTACAGTTTTCTTGCAATTCTCAAATACAATTTTATCGTACCTCAATTTCGAAAATAGTACAAAGTAGGGTAACATTGAAGAAAAACAAAACAATTATTATGAAATATTATAATCGACATAAAATAATAAAACTTGTTCAAAAGTATCGTTGGGGCAGTAACAGGAAATAATAACAGAAGTTATAAGAAATTTGACCTGAGTATCGTTGGCAATCTTTTGAAATATTAGTTATGATGTTTCAGATGGACGGAATTGTCGCCCATTCTCACAAGTTTCGGGTACCAATGGGCGAACGCAGCGGCCGTCGCGGGTTACAACGAACTTTTGAATCAAACAGTACACCACCTCCATTAGTAGCTCTAACGCATGCTTCACATATCGCCACCCGCCCTCCCGGCTGCAATCACAAGGATAACCCTGTTGACGAGGTAAGCACATAATTGAATTTACAAACTATTTCTGTGATAATAAAAATTGTAAAAACACCTTCAAACTCAGCCTTCATATACATACGTACATACATACATTTTAAAGGTCTCAGAAATGGTGAACCATATTTTAATTTACTCTCCTGTGCGTATTTATGAAAGTTACGTAGGTTGCCAGAATTCCTGATACGGAAATTTAATCAGGAAACGCCGAAGTTTTGCGTAAGGCCTTAAATTGGTTTTACTTGACTATTTTGAATAAACAGACACGCTCAATTTTTCTGTATGGTAAAATGGACCCTGATCCACCGATGCCTTTGCACCGCATAATCTTAGGTCATGTACATAATTAATTTAGGTAATTACTTAAATATGTATTAATCCGGTTAGAGCGACTTATTTCAAACATTGTTTTTTTTTATTTGTTTTTTTTATTGCATAGTTGTGTGGACGAGCTCACAGCCCACCTGGTGTTAAGTGGTTACTGGAACCCATAGACATCTACAACGTACATGCGCCACACACCTTGAGATATTAGTTCTAAGGTCTCAGTATAGTTACAACGGCTGCCCTACACTTTAAACCGAAACGCATTACTGCTTCATGGCAGAAATAGGCGAGGTGGTGGTACCTACCCGTGCGGACTCACAAGAGGTCCTACCACCAGTAAATTAAGCTTCTCAAATCAATACCAATTTCATACTGACACAAATACAAGTAACTAACTGTATGTATGAGAAAGTTCAACAAGATAACAGTGATACAATATAATTTCTTATCTATTATGTCACACAATGCATGTGCTATGTTATTTCTGGAACGCGACACGCAAATAAAACGCTTTCAGTAAGTATGTACGGCCGTTGTATGACTAAGCTAAAGGAAATTACTTTTATGTAAATTAACCATTTTGTTGGTACGTGCACGGCCCAGCGCCTACGTGAAGAAGTTAATATGTATGTAGAATCTATCCTTGAATTATAATTACCAAGTACAATTAAAAAAAAACATCAAATATACTTCACAAATTTGGAATGCGACTCTCCTCCTCCTCCTTGCGTCGGTTTCCTCATTACTGAGGGTCGTGGTCATGGCCTTGAAACATTTTGTATTTTATAATGCACCGCCATCTGTTCCTATCTGCAGCTGAGTGCAGAGCATCGTGCACTGTGGTATCCAGGACTGCACGAATCTGGTCCATCCAACGGGTCGGGTTCATGCCTCTTGGTCGCTTGCCCTCGACCTTTCCAGTGACCACCAAATTGAAATGGAATGCGACTAAAGAATTTTAAAAAAAATCTATGAATTCCAGATTGGCGAAATAAAAGAACGAGACGAAACAAACATGCTCCACTCGACATCCAGCAGGCACAAAATTCGAAAGCCCTCGCGACGAGATTTATATGTGACCATATCGGAACTGCAATTAGTGGCAACGGGAAGGCTTGAAATTACATGCGTCAGTACTATACCTGAATTCCGCAGCATCGATGATAAGTTCGCAGACGTCCGAAATGACACTGTTATTGGTAAGTTTCTTTTCAAATTATATTGTTTTAAATAGGTGAATACCACACTGAAGCCCACTGAGTTTCTCGCCGGATCTTCTCAGTGGGTCGCGTTTCCGATTTGGTGGTAGATTCTGCGAAGCACTGCTCTTGCTAGGACCAGTGTTAGCAACACTTCCGGTTTGAGCCTCGTGAGCTCACCTACACGTTAGGGTGAAGCTGAAATAGCCTCTCAAGGCTATCAGCATAGGGAGGAGAAAAAACTATACTGATTAATTTTTGATACAAAGCATTTTCTTGTTTGCCATTATTACCTTAAGTTATTACCTATAATTAAGATTTCAATATCATGTCATAACGTCAAATCACTTATGCAAGTGAGATATTCGTTCATGCGGCTCGCACCCACCTTATCTCCCTCCAAAGTCTTCAATCTCGCTTCCGTAGATTAGACTTTAAAGCAACATGGCACACGACGAATGTAGATCTTCAAGACGTTCTAGATCTCGAACTCATCCGTAAGTATATAGACGATGCCAGAATAATACTTCACGACAGCAATGTAACATGTAATGCGCCTGATCCACTCTCAGTGCTGATGGATGCTGCTTTTTTTATTGCTTAGATGGGTGGACGAGCTCACAGCCCACCTGGTGTTAAGTGGTTACTGGAGCCCATAGACATTTACAACGTAAATGCGCCACCCATCTAAGATATAAGTTGTAAGGTCTCAATATAGTTACAACGGCTGCCCCACCCTTCAAGCCGAAACGCATTACTGCTTCACGGCAGAAATAGGCGCGGTGGTGGTACCTACCTGTGCGGACTCACATGAGGTCCTACCACCAGTAAAGTAGTAGTTCTAACGCTAGCAGCAGCCAAATCACAGTGCGACATGTTCGCCGAAGAGTTCGATGCGGCAGCCAGCTAAGCCTCTCGCTGGATCTTCCCAGTAAGTTATTATGCCAATTTGGTGGTGGGAACATCACCGAGCTGACCTCGAACTGATAGCCGATTAAGGGACGCTCAGCTAGTGGTTAACAAACCTCCTTCTTCAACTCCTCGGCTGAGTCCTCAAGCCCAATCACCCACTCGTTCTAGTTAAAATATACTTTTTTATAAATTTTTTTATTGCCCTTGTAGGCAGACGAGCATACGGCCCACCTGATGGTGAGTGGTTACCGTCGCACATGGACTTCAGCAATGCCAGGGGCAGAGCCAAGCCGCTGCCTACCGTTTAATACTCTCCACAAGCCTCTTTTAAAGAAGGACATGTCATAGCGCTCAGGAAACACCGTGGAGGGGAGCTCATTCCATAGCCGGATGGTACGTGGCAAAAAAAAAGACCTCTGGAAACGCACTGTCGATGAACGCAGCGGTTCCAGACGCAATTTAAAGTTTAGCAATATAAAACTATGAAGGCAGTTTCTGGTAGATCCAGATTTGACTCTCCGTTGAAGAGTTTGTTTGTTTGAACGCGCTAATCTCAGGAACTAATGGTCCGATTTGAAAAAATCTTTCAGTATTAGATAACCCATTTATTGAGGAAGGCTATAATATAACATCACGGTAAGATCAATACAATTGGAGCACCAATAAAGAATGTTTCAATATAGGGGTTTAAATAGCTCCTTAACATTCTATAATTCAAATTTTGTTTCACTTTCTACGTAAATGAAGTGGGGGTAAAATTTAGCGTTATGCCAAATTCACTATTCCACGCGGACGGAGTCGCGGGCAAAAGCTAGTTGAAAATATCATCATTTCCATTAAACCTTAACATCCGTAGATTATGGAATTATATATTGTAGTAAAATTCTGATTAATAGATTCAAAAAAAAAGTCAAATCAAAATAATTTAACATAACTCAACCCACACAGTAGAACAGATCTTCCAACGCGCTTGAAGGAGGCACAGTCCCCAAGATACTGGCTACGTTGCCTCGTTGGACAGCCAGACTCACTCTCTGTGCAAAGTACCAGCCAGCCTTAGCATCATGTGTAACCTCCTTCAAGCGTTTGGAGATTTCTGTAAAAAATTTCTTTGCTTCAGGGCCCCAAGGGCCCATCGTCTCAACCGCGAAAGGCAAAAAAGAATAAGAAGACCCCAAACCCGAATACTTCCGCTTTTTTGTAATTTCTGCTGAAGCTGCAGCTGAACCGGGGCGGGACGAAGTACAGGGTGGCCCATAAGTCCTTTGAAAAGTAAAATTTGAATAAAACGAACAGGGCGCGCGTGAGCGGTGCAGGGGAAGCGGGGGGAGTAACTTCGGTTTTTGGGAATTTAGTCGCGATGGAGCGTTTTACCGGAGCGGACCGTGCGTTTTGTGTGCGCGAGTTTTATAAAAACGACAATTCGGCAACCGTTGCGCGGCGTAAATTTCGAGAACACAAAGGTTTACACAACTTTGACGACACTCCAACTCTTCAAACGATTAAGAACTGGGTTGCTAAGTTCGAGGAGACCGGTTCGACGTTAGATAAACCGCGGTTGGGTCGCCCAAGGACGTCACGTACGGAACAAAACATAGACACAGTGACACAGTCTATTCGCGAAAATCCGACACAGTCAACTCGTAAGCGCGCCAGAGCATTAAACGTATCCAGGACATCGTTACAACGGATTTTGAAGAAAGATTTACATATGCACCCTTACAAAATTCAGTTGGTTCAAGAATTAAAGGAAACTGACGGTATTCAAAGACAAAATTATGCGAATGAAATGTTGAATCGGTTTACTTCCTTCAATAACATAATGTTCTCTGACGAGGCTCATTTCCATCTTAACGGGCATGTTAGTAAACAAAATTGCCGCTATTGGAGCCCCATCAATCCAAAACTTAAGCATCAGAAGCCCTTACATAGTCCGAAAGTGACTGTTTGGGCCGCTATGTCAGCCCATGGTATCCTAGGGCCTTACTTCTTTGAGGATGGCAGAGGGCGCGCAGTTACTGTTACGTCGGAGCGATATGTGGCTATGATCGAAGAGTTTTTCATACCAGAATTGCAAAACTTTTCAGGCTTTAATGCCAGGACGTGGTTTCAACAGGATGGGGCCACTTCTCACACCTCTAACACTGCTATGCCCGTTATCCGTCAACTTTTTCCTGGCAAAGTTATCTCTAAGAGAGGAGACATTTCCTGGCCTCCACGTAGTCCAGATCTGACCCCGATGGATTTTTTTTTGTGGGGCTACCTTAAGGCTAAAGTATACGACACAAACCCGCGGTCAATTGAGGCCCTAAAAGAAAACATCCGCAGAGAAATGACAAGCATTTCAGCAGTGACGTGCCGCGCAGTCATCGACAATTTTAGACGTCGTTTGCAAGAGTGCCGTGATCGCAACGGATTACATTTAGGAGATGTTATTTTCAAAAAATAATTCCCGTTTTTTAAGCTTTTTATGTAAATAAAAATTTAATTCATAATGTAATTAGTTTTATTTTAATACATTTTTTTTCATATCAAAGGACTTATGGGCCACCCTGTACCATCTAAATGACAGGGAGCCACAGTATATAGATAATTATATAGATTAATAGATTCAAATAACACATATCTGGCCCTCTCCAAAGCAAACATTGTTCCTTGAATGTGAACTAAATGAAGAATTACAACATCTACAAATAAAAAATTTGTTCGGAAAGTGTTTTAAAATTTCATTGATAAGATAAAACTGATTTATCGTTATCTTAGTCATTTATCGTTATAATAGTTTTGAGGTTACAATTGTTTTATCACACCGAGTGATTTTGCCAGCTCAGTGTTTAGAATTAGAGAGAGTTACAAACTTTGAAAAGAATGCAACACGCAATAAAAAATTCAAGTCGTAACATTCTGATCTCGAGGAAAGGAAATTCTTATATTCATTTTTATGTTCTATTAAATTTTATAGTCGTCGTGGCCTAAAAGATAAGACGTCCGATGCATTCGTATCTAGCGAAATGAAATACGTTCTTAACAAATGTTCACTATTGACTTCCACGGTGAAGGAATAACATCGGGTAATAAAAATCAAACCTGCAAAATTATAATATATAGTGAGGGGTAGATCTCAGGGGTATTTAAAACTATGGGTTAGTCACCAATATCGAATTTCGAATTTTAATCTTCCTTTATCACAAACAATTTTCAATTTTAAACAATAATTACATTTAGACGCGGGCGCACGCTATTCACACTCAAAACGGAAGCGCCCGGAACATAGATTATACACTGTTGAAAAGATTGACATAGANCGAATTTTAATCTTCCTTTATCACAAACAATTTTCAATTTTAAACAATAATTACATTTAGACGCGGGCGCACGCTATTCACACTCAAAACGGAAGCGCCCGGAACATAGATTATACACTGTTGAAAAGATTGACATAGATGCTAACTATGTATAGCGAGCGGGCATACGGCCGCGAGAGTGACGTACCGGTCGGTTTGCTACAAATATAATTTGTGTAATTACTGGTGGTAGAACGTCTTGCGAGTCCGCACGGGTAGGTAATTACTACTACTCTGCCTATTTCTGCCGTGAAGCAGTAATTCGTTTCGATTAGAAGGATAGGGCAGCCGCTGTTATGTAAAAACTGAAACCTTAGAACTCATATCTCAAGGTAGGTGGCGACATTTACGATGTAGATGACTATGGGCTCCGGTAACCATTTAACACCAGGTGGGCTGTGAGCTCGTCCACTCATCTAGGCAATAAAAAAATAAACAAAAAATTAAACAAATAGCAAGTATATTCAAATACTCCATTCGATTTTTTAAACTAGATTTTAGACGCGTTCTTTTTCATTTCTCTCGATGGAAAGGCCAGCTCATAGCCCACCTGGTGGTAAGCGGTTTTCGATGCTAGTAAATATCACATCCTAAGTACCGTCATCAACTTTCAGATAATAAGTATCTCAATTGTGTTATATAACGGCTATCCCACCCTTCAGACTGAAAAGTATGGTGGCTTCTTGTTATAAATAAGTAAAATAATATTATCTTTTTTTTTATTGCCCTTGTAGGTAAACGAGCAACGGCCCGTCTGATGGTCAGTGGTTACCGTCGCCCATGGACTTCAGCAATGCCAGAGGCAGAGCCAAGCCGCTGCCTACCGTTTAATACTCTCCACAAGCCTCGTTTGAAGAAGGACATGTCATAGCGCTCGGGAAACACCGTGGAGGGGAGCTCATTCCAAATCTGCTCATGAAAGCTTTAAGCTTCACTTTTGTTGTTTAAGTCTTGTTTTTTTTTTGTTCTAGTGGATGTTATCAAGCCCTCAACGTACATCCAGCCAACAACAAACATCACAATAGCAGAGTACAACACTTCTGGCGCACAAAGGCCGTATTCTGTACTATACATCATGTGTATTTGCTTGTTAAAAATCGCTTGATAATACATTATAATTTAAGTTTATTAAACGGGCTGTGATAAATAATAAATGTTCATTTATAAATAACCTAAGTTACTCGTTAAATGTATCTTTTAACTGTGGTTATTGTATTATGTATTTAAATCAAACTTCTAACACGCACTTGTAAATAATAAAATCCGCCACGCTTCGCTGTGGCTATCTATCGCTGAGTAAGAGAAATAAAGTTAGGAATTTATTAAAACGATTGGCGGGGCACCTATGTAGGTCGAAAGATAATATTAGAAACATTAACTGAAGTGCCAATATTAATTGCCGGAACAATAACAAAGATTAATTATCAACATATGCCAACAATATGTAAGTATACAGGCAACTGCTAAATAATTTGTCTTAATTAAAACGATAATACGACTTCTAGAGAATTTTAGATGATCGTTTTGAAAACCTTTAATTTAAAATCAGATTCAACTCTACAGAATTCATTTCATTGTTTTTTATTTATTATACTGAACTTCTGCGTTAAATAAATTATCAAATGCGTTCGGTAGTGATGAGACGCAACACAAGAAACAATTTGACCTAATCATGGAATAGATGAAAATATAAATTATGGACATGGGTACTATAATATTTTAAAAGTTTTAATTCATTAAAGTTTTAATAAAAGTTTAATAAAAAAATAATCTAATCAGTTTCCGTAAAAAATTGAGTAGACAGTGAATTCACTTGAAACGGAAACTCAGCTCGATGATTGAGTGATTACTTTTGATACTTATATTGCTTGAATATACAGATTATAAAAAAAATGTCTTATTTTTATTATAAGTTACAGTTTTAAATATATTCACAAGATTTCGAACGTAAAGCTTTCAATGATAATTGCTCCTGAAGGTTTTGGGTGAAATCAAACAAATAAGCAAATGGTGAGATTGTTAAACTCAATTTAATACAAAAAAAAGAAAAAAGAAAGGAATAAAAAAAACAGTAGTCACAATCTTTTTTGGGAGACTTCTTCAATTCTTATCAATATTAATTTTTTTTACTTGTAATTAACTATCCATCCGTTATACTCAGAATAGTATTTCTGTTGATTGTAAATACATAGCGAGAATATCACAATTTTATTACTTTCATAACTCGTAGGTTCAAACTTAGAGTATTAACCGTTCCTGCTCTTAGCATACAACATCGGAATACGTCACATTAATTTATTTAAAATTAGTATACCTATCTAGTAACATAGAGTGTCGATTTGAAATCGAGAGGACCTTACTTTTTTTGCCTCTTGTGCCTTCGGTTCATATTGGGCATGGATAATACTCGTATGAAGTCCTACTTATAAAGTAAAAACTGGCCTCTCAATTTCTATAGTTAGCCCATACATTTTAGAAGGTGTTTTCGGAGCATTCCTGAAAATGAAGTTAGGTGGGGGGAGCACTTATGATTCCTGTCACGACAATAACAAAAACATGTTTTTTTATTTTACACGCAAAATAACAGAACACGCAATATAATATAATAGACATGTACATTCTTGAAAAAACGAAATTTTATTAATACGTGTATCTTAGTTCTATGATTAGTTAGACTATGTAATTTATTATCACTGTTTCATACTGTTGGTGTGACCCAAATAAATAAGTATAACAGAACTCTTGAAAAATATAAACAGGAACAAAAAATAGTAGTTCAGTACTTTTCCCTTAGCTTATCAAGCGATTTTATATGTTTTTCTTGTTTAGTATAAATCGGTAGTGTTCGCCTCGTTGCCCGAAATTGAACATTAATGACAACTCAAAATTTCCAGTTTTCTTGCAAAAGTGAGGTGTGAAAGGCTGACTTTTCCCATTCTTTTATTGTTCATAAACTCTTCAATCAATAATAAAAAAAGAAAATCAATTGAAAAACTGGCGAGAAAATGTTAATTAACAGTTTTGGTTGTCAGTGTAGCAATGGAAAATAATATTTTCCGTTTAGGGCTACTATTTTATACTTGCTTCGGTTCGGAAACGGTTTATTTACACCCTGTATACTGTCTATAACACATTTAATTCTAAAAATAAATCGTACAATAACATTTCTTAAACTACTACTAAACTATTTGTTTTTATTCTACTACGAACTTTCAATTTCCAATGAAATTCCTATAACGTAACCTAGTTGCTATTTAAGCTTTTAATAAATATTTTGGATAATGTCTGAATCTATGGGACTTTGTAGTAAATATAATTACATACATATTACCTAATGGTATTAGGGTACCGAATTACGTAGGTAAAGCTTAAAAACATTGTATTCAGAATCTGTCTAGATAATTCCTTATTAAAATTAATTTAATGTAAATATAAAATGTAATTATGAAAACTAACCAACAAATAGTTTAAAACTATGTACTATTGAAATATTATGATATTTCAAATTTTACTGAATAAAATTACTGAGACTATAGAATATATTTCAACCTTATACATATCTGAAAGTGGGCGATGGTATTCATATTTGTGATTTCAATGGGATCTAGTAGATACTTAGTTAGGCCATGAGCAGTCTGTAGTTAGACATGTTTAAGTAAAAAATATATTTAAAATTATACATAGAATCTTCATTATAATTTTAATAACGATGCAGTAAATTTACGATATTTATGTCTTTCTTTCTCGTGATCGTTACGACGGTGAGAAACAAAGATAAATGCTATCTGACCCACAAAATTAGTTTTAAATTAAAAAGGTAAGATAAGAATAATGCCTTAGAGCACATAGTTGATATAATGCATAGTTATATGTTAATCCACGGTATGTTTAATAAAGGCTCTCTAACATTTCTGTTAAACAAATACATATCACTATGAAGACTTAAAGTAATGTGTCCCATATATAGTTAATAAAGTTTTAATTATAATAAAATTATACTTAAAAAGTATACAGCGGGTTAATTTTTCAAATTTTTTTAGCCTGTGAACAAACTCTAAATGGAGTTTTGGGACTGTTTTAGCCGTTAGTAAATTCATGAAAAATCAATTTTCTAGTTGGGACTAATATTCCTTCGTTTGATTTTGGAAAAAAGATCTGATCTATGCTAAGTATTCTTCCACAAACAATATGTCAGAAATTTAGATTTTTTTATATAAGCAAAAAGAAATTGTCATTGTAAATTCATTAGCTGATTAAATATAACTAGATGATGACCGATGAGCTTTGCTCGGTTTTTTTTTTGATAACGCCATCTTGTTGTGTCTTTAAAACGGTTAGTTGCCCTCAATTAAGAAAAATAGTACTATTATTCGCCAACAGATGTCGGGAAGAGTTGATTATTGAAAACACGAATAAAACATCATTTTCTGAAAATAAATCGTAGCTAGATCGATTTATCGCCCCCGAAATCCCCTGTATACGAAATTTTATGAAAATCGTTGGAGCCGTTTCGGAGATTCAGATTATATTGCTCGTTTAAAGGTATAAGATATCATCTATATACAAAATCTTGTGTTTGTTTGTGCCTTGCCCAAAGTTCTTAAGGATTTAAGATTGGACTTTGTTGTTTCATTTTATCTTAGTGTGAGTTTGAAGATGTTTAATGAAGAAAACACATATTACAGTAATCCTTACAAATGAGTATGTACTATAAAATATTTGATTCAATTAAATTAAAAAAAATAAAAAGGCACTATTATCAGAGATAATAGGTAAGTAAAAGAATAGGTAACTAGTCTCGCACACATGTTTGGAAAGAAAGTTTGAATAATGAAATTGATTTAATAAATGATCGTAGTTACAAAATAACATACCTAGTATTATTCAATCTTTAGAATTGAGTCCAATCTTAACGCACGAAGAAATGTGTGTTGATACTTTTAAAAAATGCTTAAAATGTGCAAATTTCTCAACAGTTTCCTAACTTTTCAGAACATTATTCACATATACTTACAGTAGGCTTTTTGCATGACCTGCATCAAAAAAAATTTGGATTGTAGAAATAACACTGAATGTTTTTATTAGCTACTTGCCTACGAAAATTGATTTTTCAAAAAATCTTGACCTACTTTTAATTATTCCGAACAAATTGACCCAAAAACAAAATGAGTACTGATTCAAGTATCTTAGTTATATATTAGGTATATCTAGCTTTCAGTTTTATTATAAAAATATAAAATACCATGACTGTAATGAGTTAAGTCCGCTTAAAAAGATCAAGTTAATCCTTGACAGAAAAGATTTTCTAAGGTCAGTATCAGACAAATATTTACATAGCCCATCAATAAGTTCCTTTTAGAATCCTTTAAATGTGACTGTGGGGAATAATTATTATAAAATAAAATAAAAGCACGCAGGATACGGTGTAGGCCCGTATCCAGACAGGTTGTTCCAGAAATTTCCACTACACACCTACTGTTCCCAGCTCTAAAATAATATTTCATAAGTTACTTGTTTTTAAACTAATTTTTATCTTCACGGGATGTTTATTTTATATATGATTTCATGTTCCCTTTATCTATAATGTATTTACCTAAACCAAATATAAGAAACAACCGTGTTGGCGTACCTACATCTAGTTAGTAAGTAATGCTATTAGTAATGTGTGATAATATTATATTAAAGTATGTTAATTTATCGCTCTTTTATTTATCATTTTAAAATATGTCGTAATTTAAATTTTTGAATGTAACCAATATTGAAATCAAACGTGCGAGAACCTTTCCTATTGTCAAAAGTGAAACATAGAATTTTGCAAACTATAGTTACTATCTATTGATACTTACGCAATGATATTTTATATGTAAAAAGAAAAGATAATTCATTGTACTTACGTAATTAACTAAATTAACTAGAACACTGATTATGCTGATTGCACTAATAAAGCTTGTGTTAGCAAAATATATCAATGTGGTCAAATTTTCAATAAACTTCGATTTCTAACATATTTGTTTTCCAAAATGTTAAAATGTAGGTAGTCGTGAAATTCCCTGAATATGGAAAATTCCATTTAGAAATTAACAAAAGGTAAGCATTTTTTGTAATAACTTTGATAGGTAGAACTATTAGGTACTGTGAGAGCGACTGCAGTATCGTCTACACGAGTTCTTGAACTATAGAAGTATAATTATAGATACCCAGGCGTAGTAGAATTATAGGAGACGCAATTCAGAGAAAAGCTCATTTCAAAAGGAATGCAGTAAACATAAAACTGCGAAGCGGATAGGTACCTTATTTTTTTTTTCCCTACCTATGCTGATAGCCTTGAGAGGCTATTTCAGCTTCACCCTAACGTTTGTAGGTGAGCTCGCGGGGCTCAACCGGAGAGTTGCTAACACTGACCCTAGCAAGAGCAGTGCTTCGCAGAATCTACCACCGGATCGGAAACGCGACCCACTGAGAAGATCCGGCAAGAAACTCAGTGGGCTGTCTGAGGGGTACGTCAACGATGGATCATATTACCGTATATTGATGAGCTAGTTTCCGAATGTGGCAATATGAAAATATCGAAGGACTTTTTCTTTTATGTTGATTTTGAAGCTTGGATTTTACATTTTTTTTTATTGCTTAGATTTGTGGACGAGCTCACAGCCCACCTGGTGTTAAGTGGTTACTGGAGCCCATAGACATCTACAACGTAAACGCGCCACCCACCTCGAGATATAAGTTCTAAGGTCTCAGTATAGTTACAACGGCTACCCCACCCTTCGAACCGAAACGCATTACTGCTTCACGGCGGAAATAGGCGGGGCGGTGGTACCTACCCGTGCGGACTCCCAAGAGGTCCTACCACCAGTGAAAATTTCCTGACAGTTTACATTTTCAGAGATGTGCCCTTTTCGAAATTGCATATTCAATTGGAGACTGTACTTATGGTATGTAATCAAATGTAAGGTATTGTCGGATTTATGATTAGAACGACCGGCGGAGGTATCTATAGAAAAGAAAAAGTCCGAGATACTCCATCGAAAATACCATGGTTGATGTACCTAAAATTAAGGTTGTAGAATAATTTTCACGATTGAATTATGATTTATAAAATTTTTCTTAGTATTTCTTCAAGGGACAATGTTTGATATTAATTTCATCGATACTCGATTATTTTTTTTCCACAGGAGAAAATCCGGTATGTTGGAGTTGAACCTCAATAAAAACTCCTGCCGCTCACAGCCTCCTGCCGCTCACAGATACTCGATACTTAGTCAACTTTACCAACACATCTCTGAGAAAAATGTTCGTTAAAGTCAAGATTGAGGGTTTCATTTTTTCCCTTGTTAAAAATGGATTCACAAAGTATACACTCAATTCAGAAAACAAATTTAATTTATTTTTATCACATTTACATAACACACATAAAATTTCTTTTTTAACAAATAGGCACGTTCGTCATTGTACAATTATAATACCTACATATTTAAATAAACCTAAAAAGGAAATATGCAGACTAGGTTAGTCTATTTAATTTAGACACTTCCAAGAAAATATTTAGTCGATAGTGTCTACATCCTACTTATTAATCTTTATGACGTGGGTATTGTAAAGATTGTTTATACAATGTATGTAAACCCAAACTTCGTTAGTGTCTACGACTTAACACATCAGCTAAATCTCATTAAAAGTAAAGCTACAATGCTGACTAAGTGCTAAGTAGCTGATAGATGTACTAGTTATAAACTTGAGAATTTAATAGACGTGCGTAGATAAAATGGGTAAGGGAAGTTTAGGATTATTTTTATGATATTAAACATTGAAAAGGGGCTGCTCCAGCCTCGCGGGTTCTTCGGTGAACAAGTTAAATATTTTTATTGATACACATTTGAAGAAAATCCTTTTTAGAAAAAAATATATTAATATGATGTCATTTATTAAAATAATTTAGACCTTATCAGCATAATTCGATGAAATTGAAACTATAAAATAACAGTCCTCTAAAGTTTACATTTCATGCTGGTCAACTTATTTTTACATACTTATGTATATAGTAAGTACATAGATTGAAGCTATGGGAATTTAGGGATCGCGGTAAGAGACGATTGAGCCTGCGCATCCCGATGAAATAGGCGAATTCACCAGATATACTGATGTTTCTATTAATACGGGTTCACAAAGATTTGTGAGGATCATCTTTGGACAAAAAAATATTTTCTCCGAGCTTCCAGCAACACCCACAAAAAACCGTATACGTGACATCTTATTTTCGAAGATCTTAATTAATTGTGGTACTTAAACGGTAGGTATGTTGCGTGAAATTTTAGGTGCATGAACTCCTAAAGTTATCATAGCAGCAAATACTACTACTACGACCAGACTTCGCTTTCAGGAACGGTACAATTACAACCGATAAACTCAGCACATAAGTACATAGGTATAATGGTTATATGCGAGTGAAAATGGACATCAACTCACCATTTATAGGGTGTACTGACGGGTATGTCTATTACCCAGTTTACAGCAGGGCTTGTTAGGCTGTGTTTTATTGAAATGAATGTAAAATATCATGTAATATTACTTTGCTTACATTTAACCGTGCTATTCCAACCACTTGCAGACGTAATTAAAACAAACAATCCAGAGATCAAACTTTTCATAATAAAAATGACAATCAAACAGTTTATAAGTATTGATAATTTTGATCTACTGTTTATAATGTGTATGTTTATTGTATAATTTCAGGGACTCTGAAGTTAAAGTAAGTTGAGTCTACTGGCAGCCCCAATTCAGTTTAAGATCAAGTATTAAAATCACTTATTTTGCTATAATTTCATTAAAATCTGACAAATGTTTTAAATTACTCAAGAAATAAAATACTTTAAAATTCCTGAAATTTCTTAGGCTAATTTCTTTGTATTTACAACAAATAAATGCGCTTTTACTGCCACTAATCGCAAACAAACCTGCAGTTACTATTATTACAACATTTATCATTTTATTCCGATAGGGCTATGTATACAAGTTAACATGATAGTTGTTTTTTTTTTAAATAATTCTTAGTCCTTAGATAAGCATCTGCATTATACTTGTAGCAAATAAGCTACTTCTCAGAACTAAGTCAATATGAAAATGTTAATAGTTCACTGTAATTTGTTATCCAACTGTTGTACAATTTGATTTGATACAACTTTAGTAGCTACAGAGGCATTTGGAATAAGAAATCTATCCATATCTTTAATTAGTAAATTATCACCATCTGGAATACCATACTTAAATGTAATTAATTCTGGATGCCTCTTCTTAGCTGTTATTTTAACTATAGTAGAGAGAGGTCTCCTAGACATAATCTTTGCTAGGCCTCGTTTATTTGGAATGTCACGTAAAACAATTAAGTGTGTTTCTGTTACAACTATATAAGAATCATGCATATATCCATTAAGTAATACTTCCTGGCATTGAAAATTATCAATAGTATTTGGTTCCTTAAGAAACGACTGCACATTAACTATTTCTTCGATAGAATCAGAAAGTGTAAGATCATGACGTAAACTATCAGACCGTGAGTCTTCATCTTCATCATTTATGCTAAATACAGGTGGTACATTTCTATACCTTTGCTCTTTTCTATCATTTGCAGACACATGCCATTCACTATTATTGTATGTGGAATTTGGGTTAACTATGTACTCTATCAATTTCCCTTTGACTTCTTGACTTTTAGCTTTCATGGCAGATGACAATTTGCTAAACAATTGTTTAGTAATCATATTCTCACTAGTTTTGGTTGCACTGGCTACGTTTTTACTCATTCCAACAGAGGTATTATTTGGAACACAAACAAGACATGCTGATGCATTGTGTTCCTCTAGGCAATCTGTCATATGAGGCCCAAAATAATCATGAATTGCCACAAAGCCACCATCAAGCATAGAAACATGTTTAGTATTTCTCTTCAGAAATGATGCAACCACCATATGAGCATAACTATCTTCTTCAGTTCTACCTGATCCGACAAAACATAGATGTTCTCCAGCAGCAAGTGATCCAGCAGCTAAGGCTTGTCTTTGAGCATTTAATAGTCCTTGCACGGCTGTATTAAAAGCTGCAGGTTCTTGCAACATCAAATTACAATCTAGATGAAATGCGGTGGATAAATGACCTGCATTATATTGATCTGTTGGTCGACAATCAACTAAAAAGAATTTCACACTATCTGAATTTGCCAATTCTAATGTTGCACTTTCAATTAATTCATGAACTGCTACAGGCAGACATAAAGCTTGTGAGTACAGTCTTGAATTTATTTCCAATTCACTTTCTGAAAATAAGACCTCTAAGACATCATCTCTGAAAGACTGAGGTGTTTTTAATGAGTAGTAATGAGCCAATGAACAGAAATCCGAAACATCATTTGCTTCCAAATCTGCAGGCATATTGGTAAGAATTTGTATAATGGCTGTTTTATCATCATTTTTCATCTGTAGTAATTGTTCTCTGGCATTAATGATCATAATTAAGCATAGAAAAAATATGAAGAACGGATCTGACCTTTGAAAATACAAATCCCACATGTATAAAGCTACATCCAAACTACATGTACCAGCAAATAATGACTTCAACCATGGTGAACAATACTGTTCTGGAGTGATTCTTTTTGTATCCAAAAATGAACAAAGTTCTGGATCATGGTATTGAAGTATCAACCTTAATATATGGCAAGGTACTCCATTTTTTGAACAGCCCTTTGGTGTATACAATTTTAAAATCCTTTCAAACAAATTATAAGTATCTGACCGTGGTAGCTTCAAACTTAACAAAGGTAATAAAATATCAATCCAACCATTGTTTGAAGTGTAAGTTGTGTTCTTCGATTTGCAATAAAATGTGATTATTGACTCAACATCAGATATAACTGCTAATTTATCATCTTCTTCATTGCCAAGTTTTTCAACAAACTTTTTTACATCATCTCTTAATTCATTCTGATTAGGTAAGTCAAATATCTCATCAAACAAAAGCAATTGGTTTCCAGCATCTTGACAATTCAAACATAACAACCACACATCAGGACGTAAGCTAACAGGTATTTTTTTTCCTTTCGTTAATGCATTAATTTCTTGTGCGGTACATCCATCGAGAAGAGCAGACTCTAGTTCTATCAACCTAAAATAGTTTTTTTAAAATTATTAGTGCCAAGAAGTAAATTTTACATTAAATATAATATTGTAGAAGGAATGGCATTTTTTATGAGAATTTACTACAATTATTTTTCCAAGGGTGACGATAACGTATAATCGCTATTTATATATATAATTGCTAACGATATCTCACACAATTACCTATGCAAGTATACTGCAATGTGCAAACATGGTCATGAAATAATTAACAAAACGACGTCCTTGACAATAGTGAAATACTGATAAATGCTCAAAACTGTACTAGTAGTATCTGAAGTAATCTTAGCCCTCATCTATGAGGACTAAGATCAAACGATACAAGATCAAATAATTCTCATGAGCAAATATCCCGAATTATAAGTAAATTAAAACTAAAATATTTCCTTACCAAGTATCATCGTCGTCTCCTGCCATTTGTTTCGTTTGACACGACAAATTTAAATTAGTTGATAACTACAACACAATGGAGCTCCAAATCGTGCGAAAAATACATCAAAACAATTTCGTAAATATTGAAATTTAGTTTTGCAAATTTTAGTAATTTTAAGTTAGCCTATCAAATATGTTATCTATGCAGTATGTATACAATACATACAAACCTCGAGATAACACAGTACCGTAAAATGGAACGATTAGGGATTGAGAGGCGAATCGGGAAAAAACCGAGAAAATCTTTCGACGCTCATTATTAGTTTTATATTCGTTGCAAAATCTTCCATTTTTTTGTAGTTTAATAGTAGAATGTTGAAAGTTTACAAAACAACTCTGAATATGCATGATAATAGCTGCTAACTTATAAAAAATCGCGTTTCAAATTAACTTCCTGTGGTGGTAATTATTTTAGTGCTAGAAACTTTGCTCTCTTTTATTTATTTGATAATAATAGAAGACGACTGTGATTTATAAACGTTATTTAGTGTTTGAACCATCATGTATATTAAAAATAAGTCTCAGTTGTTATTGGTTTTAATGTATTTGATAAAATAAAAATACATGTAAAAATCTGTTGTTTCTGGGGATATTGGGGACGTTTTAGGTACAAATAACAACGAAAAAGGGATCAATTGGGATGAGAATACGTGAAATGGAAACGACCTAAATATAAATAGGTACAGGTTTCTAGGGTTGTCTATGTAGTTACAACAATATTTTTTAGATTTGTTGGTAAAAATCTTTTTTATTCATGATGTTTTTGTTTAGAACTTTTATTCAAAATTATCAATGTGTTATTTTATTGTTTGGTAAATATTTATATTATCAGTTACGTATTGTTTTCTATTTTTGGATATGCCTCGCGTGTACGTATCAAAGAGTGCAGATATTATCCCTTAATATTAAAAACAGCAATTGGGAAATTGCCAAATTGGGAATAAGTCTTTAGTTGAAATAGCTAAGCAATTTAATATAAGTAAGTCAATTTTGCACAGACATGTAATAAGAACAATGAAATCTCAAGGTGGACAAAAATGTCTAAGTAATACATAATAAAATATTTAATATTTGTTCAGTGTCCGTTTTTCAATGTTTTTTATTGATGATCACTTTGTTGGTGCAACTAAATAAATAAATAAATTAAAACCAAGTAGTGCCCACCCTAGAAAATTTCTCATTTCGTCCCAATTAACCGCAATTTCCGGGTAAATAGGGATTACACATATTTTTGCTTTTTTTGCTTAAACTGGAATGCTAGTTGCATAGTTTTAAATTGGACAACAAAGATGCCCCCAAGACTCAATCATTTTGATCCTGATATAGCATTATATACATCAACAACTACCTTAAAATTGGTCATAAAGTTGGAATTTGTCCCTAATCGCCCCATTTTACCAGTACACACTAGAAGGCAGATTTATATAGAGTCAGTAACTAACGTCAGTGCTGGCGCCCAAAACTAACCCAATCAGTACTTCGTCAGTAGTCGAAGATATTTCATAAGGTGTACATACCTTTGTAAAGTCAGTGCGGAAAAATGAGTTCTCGAAAACAGCAAAAAATCAGAGTTAATAATTTGTTGAGAAAATGTACCTTTGTGATGATGCAAGAACTAACTGGTATGCTAGAAGAAATATCTAAAAAGAAGCGATTTTGGGTAAGAAAATGGATAGATGACAGAGATCAAACTGGAGGCTTAGCTCTGTTGTTAAGAATTGAAGGTCCTGGGGAATACAAACTGCCTTTGAGAATAGCGCAAAAAACTTTGATGATTTGCTTATATTGTTATCAAGTTCTATTCAACATCAAGACACATTTATGAGAGACGCCTTGCTAGCCAATATTCTTTAATGCTGTTGCACGCATTTCTTTATTTCTATAATTTTGTGATTTATTATCCTACAGGCATTCATTATCGTGGTATAGTTGAATAATCTTTAAGTTCTCCGTGATGTTTACTTTTCGTGCCATTTTGTGATGTGGTGCAATGCAGCGTGGTCCCCGTACAATAAAGCGGCAGCGACTGACTTCGGCATTTACACGGTGTCAGTAGCGCTGGCGTGGGTGGTGGGGGGGGCGGACTGACGCCGAAAAATATGAAGCGGAAATATTGAAGACAGTACTGTTATTTCTTCTTCTCCATCGCTGTCTCGTTACTGAGGATCGTGACTCCGTTTCAGCTTGTCGACTACCAGCCTCCATCGGTTCCGGTCAGTTGCCTGGTGTAGTGCAGCGCTAAATGGTCCGCTGGTTTGCTCGGAGATCTGGTCGGACCAACGTTTGGGGCTCCGGCCTCTAGGACGTTTTCCTTCTACTTTTCCAGTGACCATCAAACGTTCCAAGTTATCTACACCTCTGCGGGCAACGTGGCCAAAGTAGTGCATTATGCGTTGCAGACAGGTGGTAGACAGGCGTTGAGCATTCTCCATTTTAAGCTGTTGTAGGACCGAGATGTTCGTGCGGTAGGCTGTCCATAGAATCCTTAATAAGCGGCGCCAACAACACATTTCAAAAGCATCAAGTCTGTTTCGGTCAGCTGCTTTTATTGTCCGTGTTTTCAGACAGTACTGACTTGAAATCAATTTACACGATGGCAGTGCCAGGTCAGCACTGACTCGACAGTGCACTGACGTTAGTTATAAATCTGCCATAATATTTGATAAATAAAAAACAACATCAGACAAATCAAGACTCCGCAGTTCGATTTCCATTACAGCCAACATAGTGTTTTTGATGATCGTAGATATGTAACACTTAATACAGGGTGTCCCAGAACTCACTGGAAACGGGATGACAGAATTTCATGAGAAAAGTCAGAAAAAAATCTATCCCATGCAGTTTGGAAAATTGGGCATTTAAGAAAAAACTAGAAATTTGGTCAAACTGTAACCATTTTTCGGTTATTAAGGTTAATTGAAGTTATACCTCTTTAGGCGCGTTATGAAAAATTGATGAGAGTGAAATTTTACGATGCGCGCGCACCGTGACACAAAATTAACAGAAATGAAGTTGCCCCTAAATCGCTCATTACAATACGACCGACGTAACTTGGCGAGTCTGAACATAGCCGCAGGTGAACTTTCGCGCATGCACACTCGTAAAAAATTCTACCAACAAAACAGAAATGGAATCTCTGTTAGTGGCGCATGTTGGCACGCACGCCGCCTCTGTTCACTGTGTATTTATATTTATAATATTTATCCACATGCTTTGAGTTTCTACATTTAAAACACGTGTTTTCATTTTGTTTTCATTAACAAGTGCGAATTTTATATGTGCGTCTGAATTATAATACTAATTCTATACTAATTCCTCCTCCGTGCGTCGTATTCCTCAGTTCTGAGGGTCGTGACCTTTACTGAGCACTTTTGTTAGGACTATTTCCATTCACTTCTGTCCTCCGCGCGGCGGATAGCGACATTGATGCTGGATTCCAAAGTCGTCTTAATCTGATCGGACCAGCGCATGGGACTACGCCCCCTAGGCCTCTTTCCTCCCACTTTGGCGGTGATGAGAAGTCTTTCGAGATTGTCACCCTTTTTCCTCGCAACGTGACCGAAAAACTCTAAAATCCTACGTAGGCAAATGGTGGAGAGTCTTAAGGAGACGCCTAGTTCTTCCAAGATTGATGCGTTTGTCCGATGCGCCGTCCAGGGAACCCGCAGCAGTTTCCTCCAGCACCACATCTCAAACGCGTCGATCCGACTTCGATCAGCCTTCTTCAGAGTCCATGTCTCCGCCCCATATAAGAAAATAGAAAACACAAAACTTGTTACAAGTTTACGCTTGGTTTTTATGGAGATGTTTCTATCGGACCAGATGCTATCAAGTTGAGACATGGCACTTTTTGCTATTGCTATTTGCTATTTGTGAAAAAACTGTGCTCATCAACCTTCCTAAGTGCTCCCATATAATTGAGGTTAACAATCCGTATGTATTATTTAGTAATTTAAATGACAAAATTATTGGAACGAAGTTCCTTACGGCAGGCTTGGAGGGGATAGGGATTTTGCTGCGCGACCGAACTGAAAAAAAAATGATAGTAAAACCGTAAGAAAAAATCCGTGGAAAAAAGTGCGTGGAAAAAATCCGTGAAAAAAAACCGTTAAATGAGACGTGCACAGGCGCGACAGTCGTATACACAAGCGAGTAGTGTATAATACCTTTCTCTTTCTCCCTCTTTCTTTTCGTTCTCTCATCCCTTCTCTCTCTATTTTGTAATTATTTCTATTTCTATGTAATTTTATGTTGTCAAACAAAAATAAAGAGACATATTTTGTTATTTTAATTGATAATTTGAATTACGATTTTATTTTTATTTTACGTAATTTATTATTTCCTAAAATACTGAATTTCCTAAATACTTTCCTGTACTTAAATAAAAACTAATCAGCAAAATTTAAGAGAAAAATCAAGAAAACCAACATAAAATTGAGCACGATTTTTTTTTTGCAAATCGTGTCGATTCTACATTAGCCGAAGGAACTTCGTTCCTACCTGGTGTCCCACGACACCACATTTTAATTTTATTATTTAATATAATTCATACTAAATATTATTAAATTATTAACGTTAAGTATTTATTATTAACTATTTAAAATTAAAAAAAAATATATATATATATATAAATAAAGTATAACTTCTTACGCGCGTAAGTACACGCACCCTTTTTTTTATTATTTTTGTTATTCTTTTATTATTTTTATAAACATGTCCACTTTCCATTTCTCTCACCATTTTGCCGTAAAATTAAGAACCTATCAAGTTATTTCTAGTTAGGTAGTAGACTCGACTTAAAAACACGATAGCTAGGATAGGCCGAAAGATTGCGAGGTTGAAGTGACAGTGGGCTCATAGTACTATGAATTTAGTTTTTTTTATAGATTCAAATGTGTCATAATGGTAACTTAATGATCGCTAAGTACCTACCTGTGAAGGTACCTCGGACTCTTCCAAAAAGTCCATTATACCCTAATAAATTTCTTTTTTTACTAAAAGCTTTTCGTATTCTGGTATAATTCACTTTTCAATAAACCAACAGTGGCTTAGTTTTTTTATGATTGCTGGTGGCCCGCAGGATTGTGCAGTTACACCAGGACAGGTGGGCGAGCAAGGGCTCAGTCAGGAAGGGCAAGTGTTTGGTCTTTATTCCAGAAGATTTGGGCATTTAGGCTATATTCCTTTTGCTCCTGTCATGGATGATGGCGTGATAACTGACAATTGTTTGTCAGGCAACTGTCAATTTTCTCATCAATAGGTACCATAAATCTATTAGGTAGGTACGGTATGTACCTACTGGTATATACATATACTGGTATGTACCTACATATTAAAGATTATTCCAAATATTAAGTGTAATTATCTATGGAAGGTGGCTGTATGGGCTTAGATCCCTTTGCCTTTCCTAATAAGGAAAAATTGTACAAAAAAAATATCTATGAAATATCTACCCACCCTGTGTAGTAATGTGTATTTTCTATGGTCGGAATTAAACGACTGACCTTATTTATGTTGTACCAAATTTAAATGAAGGATAGAAAGAACTACGAGCAACACTGATTAATACTAATATATATATTTTAGGTAGTACCTACAGAGAAAATGAAACGATGCGAAAATTTATTCCCTAATAAGCAGGGTTTTATCATTTTTGCTCTGTATATAATTTTATTTGTATTTCAAGGTATGTTTAAAAATAACCGAAAAAATCTGTTTAGGCTTAGCTTTGATCGTTCCAAAATACATCAGCATTGAATCCACCTTTAATACTTTAATATTTTTGCTTAACTAGTCAAGGAATCATGTCCAATAAAATTTAATAGTTTCATATAAATCGAGCCTTATCATAACTGTTAAGGCAAATAGAATAAATATATTCACGATTTCTAGAATGAGCTTTTTGGTCATGAAAATAAAATTTTCAGGTGTATTTGTAACTGCATCAAAAACAGAAAATGGAGGCTATGATTATAATACAACCCTAGTTGTATTCTTGTCAGAATTACTAAAACTAATAGTTTCTGCTATCTTATACACTCTAGGGAGGGAGTAAGTAGCTTTTTGATTTTTCTTTGCAATATATCTAATAAAAACTTTAGTACCTGCTTCATAAACATAATGAAAATTTCGAGTGCAATTAACTCTTATTCACAGGTATTCAGAGGTATTATTGTTATTAAAACTAAATCCTATTTAAAGGCTTAATTGATAATATTATTTTGGTCTTTTACATTCTGTTTTAATTACATAATCTTTCAATCATGAAGACTTCAATAATAATAATTATTATTTTTCAGAAACAAACCACACATTTTCAAAGCAATCGCAATAAATTATAATTTGTTGTTGTTATATTTCATTCCTTCTTTGTTATATTGCTTTTATAACAATTTGGCATTTATCAACTTATCACATTATGATCCTACTTCGTATTATATTCTACTTCAGTTCAGGGTTGTTCTGACAGCATTACTTTTTCAGGTAATTGGTTATATTGTAGCTGTTTAATTCTTAATTTGTCTGTTAAAATAATGAAAACATAAACTTCATAAATTTTTTTTAGTTTTTATTTAAGAAAGATTTGACATTCATACAATGGATATCCTTGGGAATTTTAACAATAGGATGCATGATCAAGAACTTTGATGCATCAACGGTGAACTCCAAAGAAGATGGCAACGCTTGGTCACAAGTACTAAATATTTATTTCTTATCAATAAATTTTCAGAACTTTTGTTCTTGTTTAGCTGGTACATTTAATGAGTACTTATTGAAGAAACAAGGATCACACGTCAACATATTTTTACAGAATGTTTTTATGTATTTAGACTCAGTTCTGTGTAATTTTATTGTATTATTATTGAAAGGTGAATTAGGGGCAATATTTGAAGATTTCAATTCTTTATATGACATCTTTGTGATCCTTATAATTGTGAATAGTGCTATAGTAGGGATAGTAACGAGTTTCTTCTTAAAAAAATTAAACTCTATTTTAAAAACATATGCAAGCGCATTAGAACTAATAATAACAGCTGTTGTGTGTTACATACTTTTTAATATACCAATTACATGGTTTACCATTGTTTCAATTTGTTTAGTGAGTGTGGCTGTAGTTATGTATTTTAAAAATCCAGTTAATAATGTAGTTTCTAAGTCGTTAGACGCAAAAGATTCAACACTTTTAGAAGTCACCAGTGATTAGTTCTTTCGAAGAACTATTGAATATAAGAAAATAATCTCAAAAGATATGTACTGATTATATTTAATTTGTTATGTTTTTAAAAAGGATAATTATGTGAAGGATGTAATGATCATAAACTTTTTATTGTCAAGTTAAAAGATCTCAACAATACAAAAGCATAAATTTAAAATAATCAACAATGTTGACTTGACTATGATTATAACTTGATATTAAAGTTTTTAAGAAATTTGGCCAAAGATGTATGTTAAGTCCCTTCATGATATAACATATAATTATTAAAACAAGTATTTAAACACAAAGGATAATGTAAAAGTTAGGATATGACTTTTATTTATTTGTAATTTATAAGTTTTTGATGATATGAAAATCCAGGTTCACTCTTAGTTTAAAAGGAAGCAGTGTTTTCAATAAAATTTACATAGATGATACTGAAATCTCAGCAATATCTATGTGGTGCATTGTTATTACACTGGTAGACAGCATTTTTGCGCGTGGGCTGTGTATAGCCTCATTTTATTGCTTCTATAGCTAGGAATAAAACTAAGAAGTAGTTTTAAATTTCATTGTGTGAAAATAATGCAAAAAAACAACTACATAAAAATACAACAAATTTGGTTCTAAGAGATGGTTTATGAAAATAACGAACGACAATTTTTTTTTTTAACTTAAGTAGAATTCAAGTGTATAAAAATCAACGGTTTTGCTTTTTACACGCTTTTTATTAGCTTCACTTGTATGTATGTTTGTAACTGACTCCTTAAAGACGCGATTATGACCCACTTTAAACGGCCAGATTTCATTCAAACTTGTAGATTTTGACAATACACTAATTTGATAAGATTATTCCATTATTCAATTTGCAAAATAAGATTTTTGCCAATTTACATAATTTTTATTTATACTCGATAAGGCAGGAATTGATGTTAAAGTACTTAATAGTTTTAAAAATACACTTATATAGAAAAATTAACTAAAAAATTAAAAATAAATAATAGTTTAAAAAAAATAAAAAACACGCTTTATATAAAATTCAACTAAAATAGAAAATAAATTCAAATTGATAATAGTGTAAAAAAAATATATTTTATTTTAAAAAAAAGCATGGGGTCATGTCTATGGGTTGCTTTTTAAGATATTATTGAAATAATAATTATTCTACTTAAATCTGTCGGAAAAACACAACTAATAACAACGCTTTTTTTACAATAAAATGTATATTTTTTACACTATTTTCAATTTAAATTTATTTTCTATTTTTTAGTTGAATTTTACATAAAGCGTGTTTTTTAGTTTTTTTAAACTATTATTTATTCTGTCATATTTCAACAGAAATTTCTTTCATTAACCCCCAAAATAGTTCCCATCATGTTTTTAGTATTTGACCTTCGAAAAGACTCGTATTCTATTATGTCTAGATGGAAGCGTTTAAACAAAAGTCCGCAGTCTAATAGCCATAGAGTGTAAGAGAGTGCTTCTTTATCGCGACCCACCGAGAAGATCAAGGGGAAAACTCAGTGGGTTGTGGCTAGGTTGCACGGTTCTTCCGGATAAGCTACCATATTATCTTTAAATTTATCTAAATTAGAATGTAACATGCGCATCTTTAGAGACATTCTACATCTTGTGCAAAAATTCTAAATCAAATCATTTCGTCAAATTTTCAGCTCATGATTTTCAAAGGAACTAAGTACGCCGTAGGCCCTTTTTTCCTCTCTGCTAAGAAACCGCCGGGAAAATATCACAATCCTTTTTTATTTATTTGAGGGCTTATAAAGATTCCGGCTTTAATTTTCGCCTCTGAAAATTAAAGACCCAAATTAATATATTTTTATAACGACAATGGCGTCCCATTTAATGTTACATTTTTCTACTTAGTGTTTAGTACGTCCATGCCAATGTTTTTGGCAGTATAAGCTGCATCATCTCACCGGCAACCACCTTGCATGCCAGTTAAAACACCATCTTGAAGTCTACATAATTTCGCATAGGTACTCCGATAATCAATATTGTTATATATATAATTGCAGCTAGTAGCATTTTAATTTTGTAATTTTCTTTAATAGACAGAATAGATGGGTTATTCGCATTGTCTAGAACAGCTTTTAAACTTTTTGTTAAGATGTCTTCCTATTAACCCCCGCCTTTTTATTCCCGATGTTAATAGAATACGAAAATAGAAAATGATCCAATCGCACTTTTTATAATTAATTTTGCTTACAGGCGCTTATAAAATCACAATATTTTTTCAATTTCAATCAAATTTATCTGAGTGCTATGAAAGTGATCGTACCTACTCAAAATTATTGCGTAAAGGGTTTGAAAGATACATAGTTTTTTTTTGTAATTTCCTTAAACTATAGCGTCATGTAGCAATTTATAGATTACGCCTTCCAAATTTCATTGATAGATCTGTTCTTCGAGTAAAATGGTCGAAACATATTAAGTCGTGGTAAAAACATTATGCGGAATACCTAACTAATTAACCGATGAATTAATTATAAGTGACCTGGCTTTGAAATTAATATACCCAAAAAATGATATTTTAAATAAAATAACTTATTTTATTTCGTTTTTTTTATTTGTGTATCACAGAGCACTGAACCTCATTAAACTATAGTAACTGTAACAAATACAGCAAACGCAGTAGCAGCTACCCAACATACTAAGATTGTCGGCTATAAAAAAGTACTTTACGGTTTCGAAAAAAAATTCAAATTCAAACCGTGACAAGAATTCTTCGTGCCCTTCATACAATTAACTACAGTAGAATTATTTTGTCCGTGCAGTTTGGGTCATAAAATATAGCCCGGCTAGGGCGGTGAGCATGTTGCTCGGGCGCAACGCCATTATCGATAAAAATAAATGAGTCATCGAAGGCAGGTACACGGCGGCGGGGTGGTATACGAAGGGTGGTGAGACATTGTTATGTTAAGAGTCATTTGTACTTACCTGCAAATTATAGTACATTATGTCGAAGAGAAATGTGTTTTTATGCATTCGTTCTCTGAATTTCTTTAGTGAAACAATGGCAACTCCTTTGTTTTATATCAAAACGGCAGATTTATTCAAAATAATATTTGCACGTGTTGTTATCAACAATGTGTTAAAATTTTTCACTGAAATAAGAATAGATCCCGAAAAGCTAGAAAGTGTTAATTTCTGCCATTCTCGTTAACTACCTGCGGCGATATGTGGTGTAAGTGTTCGATTAGTGATTTTTTCTTTCATTTTTATCACAAACCCACAAAATGACAAAACTAAATACACTATCGATAACGCTTATCGAAAACAAGAATGCGCATCACTATGCCCGTCCATAAGGCTCGTAAGTGGAAGAGAGAGCGAAATACTCGCTTCACCGCTCCGATTTTTTTATTACCCAAACTGCACGGACAAAATAATTCTATTATAGCAACATTCTCAATCACAATACAGAGGGAAAACAATACACCCATGTCGAAATTTCGTTGAATGAACGTACCTATATCTTAGAAATAAATTAATTGTGATTCTTCTTTTCAGCTCTCCTGATTTCACCTCATTTTCTTGTTTTCTTATTTTTAGATTTGAATGTAAAAATAAAAAGCCGACGCTTAAGTTGAAAGGGGCGATTTTTTGTGGTATTGATCACTTGATTTGACGTCAATCTCTCTCGCAGATTGATTTCCTACGAGTCGTGGCTCGTAAATAAGCAATTTTTTTTTAATTGATCTTATGCCTTATATAAAATCATTTAATGTGATTTATCTTTAATACGAGAATATCAGCGAATTTCATTAACTTTATAATACAGCAGCAAATTACTCGGCATACTGACATATTGTGCAAAAAACAAAAACCTTCGGACATGAAACTGCCACGTGTTGTTCTATAAAAAGATAGAAGTTATAAAAAAAATGACGTGGGTACACGAGTCTATTTAAAAGAGATACCGGAGCCATTGAAGATACCAGTAAAAGGTGACTCAAATTTGTAAGGAGTTTGAAAAGCTTCTCTTCGTTTACCGCTAGGGGCGCTGTTCCAACTTCATACAAATTTCGAGTTAACCGAAATCGGGAAGTTAAAAAACTCGTAGGTACTAACCACACAGAACGTGAATGCGCCTTGAGACAAAATTAAAATCTGAGTTTCATAAATACGATAGTTGTCCTGTACTTTAAACGGGCACATGTGGTTGCTTGGCAGAAATAGGATGGTAGTATCCAACCGCGGGGGTTTCTCACATACCACATGCCCATCCGCTGTTTATTAAGACAAATACGCTCAAAATAGCGCAATACCGTCCCCAATAGGCATGAAAAATGAGGAAGTTTTATTTTATTACCACATTTTATTGCCTTCTCCAGACTTTTACGAAATTAATAACTAATAAACCACCGACATTAGACTTAGATGACGTAGTAATTAATTTTTTACTCTATTTGGGTATGCGAATTGAAATATTTTAGATGCCGGCTGCTCGTTAATCACAGTGACGTCGTGATTCGTTATATGAATTCTTTTGTTGTTTGATAATTACTCCTACCACTTAGTTTAAAAGGTTTTTTTCAACTTAGTTGTTCCTAAGCAGATTTATAAAATTCTTTCTTAATTGATATTTTCAATATTTTTTATTGAAAACAGCATCCCTATATTCCGGATATTACTAATACTAAGAGGTACATACATAATTATTAATACTTGACTGCATTTATCACTTTGCTCGGAACTAAGTTTTTTTTGATATTTTTTTTAAGACACTAATACCACATCATTTATCGCTTTGTCGTAAAATATGTAATACATATTAGGCAATCCATTTAACAAGAGTAGTTTAAATAATGAATATTTGTTTCAAGGATTTACACAAACAATCACTATTAAAAATGTCTGCAGTTAAAAAGCCATACACTAACAAGCTTCAAACCAATTTAAAATACCATCTTTGTTGCATAACTTTCAACAAGTTTCCTTAAGTCACAATTTTTTTTTTTTACCTAAACTACACAAATACTGACTATCTTTATATTAAATAGCATTTTTATAATTATAATAATATATTAATTGCATGTTTGCATTTCATGAAAACAAAACGATAACAACATAATTTTACAACAGGAAAGCATTAGTCCTACTTGATAAAAAACAACAAATTTGCCACTACAAAAGTATTAAATTGGCTTGTATAGAAGTGTGGTAACANTTACCTAAACTACACAAATACTGACTATCTTTATATTAAATAGCATTTTTATAATTATAATAATATATTAATTGCATGTTTGCATTTCATGAAAACAAAACGATAACAACATAATTTTACAACAGGAAAGCATTAGTCCTACTTGATAAAAAACAACAAATTTGCCACTACAAAAGTATTAAATTGGCTTGTATAGAAGTGTGGTAACATATTTCTTGCGATAGCGATGTGTTGCAGACAGTACCATAACTCCATCTTTTATTGACAAAGCATACAAGTGATTTAACATCACATGATTAGGCTCCGGAAGTAGAGTCGGCTCACACTGAAAAACACAGAAAGATACTGCGTCTGAATAGGTCGATTGAATGACTCTTGACTGAACAAACTATTATTAAAAACTACTATAATTGTTAGGCACCACATCATGAATATCTTCAGAAAATCAATTATGTAGTCCATTTCTTTAAATTCACTCCATATTTTAATGAAAACTAAAAATAAAGATATTTAAAAGTGCACACTTCAACCTTTAATGTCATGTTTATAATTGAAAAATTGACTTACAGAAAGTGGAGTATCCTTGTTAAGTATAACCTGTAAGAGGTGTGGTGGCAATATTGGTGGACCAGACACTTTCTCCCATGGTTTGGACTGTGGGATTTCCTGTGAATCAGAAACAAACATAATTCCTGACATGTTAAATAACAATTATAATTTATATATTACAATTTATTATAACAATTTTATTATAAAAATTATAAAAAAACATTTTTATTATTATATAATTTTTATTTAAATAACAATTATAAAAAACAAATTTATTATAACAATTATAATTTAACAAAATAAAATTATCAGAATAAGTTTAAATACATGTTTCGAGGTCGTATCATTCAATTGAGAAAATTGATTCAACAAGAAAATTAAAATAGATATACAATAAGTTTTCAACAAGTAACTAACAATAAAGAGTACACTTAATCTGCATGAAAGGAAACATGAGTCATTCATTGAGGTTGTTTGCTTATTAAACACTTTAATGCTAAGGTTTATACTTTTTATATTTATGAGAATAAAAAACCTATTACCTGTGAATATTCAGTCTGAGCACTGCTGTGGATACCCTCACTGTCTTTGGCTAATGCTTGAAACACCTCAAAATCTGACATTTTTACTGTTACTAAATTATTCTTGGACCCCATTCCATTGTCAATTACTTTCTGAAATCCATGAATATCTAATAAAAATTTCGGTTATGTGATGTTTGGCCTAGAATAGCATCAACCAAGCAAAGTTGGATTAAGGGAATCAACAGAAAATGGTTATCAGTGTTATCTGATTAATATTCCAGCATACTGTGATGGCTAACTGGTATTTAATTATTTGACTTACTGAATTCTGCACCTGGTCCGCATTATCGACCTTTTGAAAAATTTCTATGATTTAAAATGTTATCAATTAAATATTCGAGAAACTTTTGGTCCCTCAGATTAGAAAAATCATATTTTTTCAAGGAATACAGTATAATGCATCCTTGATCATATGCTTTTTAGGGTTTTTCCCCTGCAGGTGAGTAGCATACTATTTATGTCTACATTCATGTATAAATAATTAAATAAATAAACCTTTTAATATAAATTGGGAAAGCAGAGGCTACTGCTTGCACAATTCATAGAACACAAAGTACTTAGTATAAGAATTAATAAACTAATATCGCTGTGTTAAATATTATTGATATTACCACTGTAGGATCATGCCTCCATTCTCCATCAACAAAATATTTGTACTGATGTTCACCTTCTGGTAAATCTATTATTGTAACAAAATCACCATGTGATTTTACCATGGGAATAGTTTTCCAATCTGTAAATGTTCCAGAAATAAATACCTGCAACATAAAAACACTATACAATCATAGTAGTGAAGTATAAACCCTTCATAAAACCCAATGGTGGCCCAAGGGCCCATCACATCAAGTCGTTCGATAAACTTACATAAAGTAACACTCATAAACTACTACTTGCTCAGTTGAGGACTCTACAACTATTTCAAAATCAACTTAGCTTTACGTTTCTACTTACTTGAAAACCAAAATATTCAAAAAGTTATCTCAAAGTTTATAGAGACACTTCTTGGAATATTAGCAACATGACACTTAGCTATTCTTTGCAGTGAGCATGCAAAACTGTTTATGGAGTTGATCTGAATTAAATTTCATTCCCTCTATTCAGAAATATAATTCGGGAAGTTTTCCATTAAAGGAAAACATATCTCTCCCTGGTGATTTAGTTCACCAAGAGGAAAACATGGGGAAAACATAGATCTTTGTAAAATGCCAGTGTCAGTAGTCATCATGTCAGAGTAGCAATTGGCAATATTGACTTTGATACATCTCCTACACTATACTTTTTTAAGTGTTGTCCTTGGTTTCAGCTCCAAAATATTCAAGTAACCTATTCTCTCATTTTACAAATTTCAGTATTATATCTGCTAAAATTATAATATGCATAATTACTGGTAGTTAAACATATTGTAAGCCAAGACAGTAGTAATGTCATCCTCCCAATTCTACAAAGCATTCATTCATTCCAGTTGGAAGAGTGGAAGCTGTACAGTACAATTGAGACTTCAACTTCACCAGAAACATTAGCTGAGCCATGAGCTTGTGTACCTATCTATTAAACAAAAACAGCTATTGTGACCTTGTTCATGAGAGGATAGATGATCAAATAAAGCTTTCTTATAATGATACAACGAAGAAGCTGCGCTTTACAGGTTATTAGTCATTAACCTTATACATACATATTGTTTACTTTCTTTAATTAATTGTCACCACACCAGTACATATATTTTACTTACTTGTTTTCCACCTCCTTCCCATTTGAAAACTGTTGGTAATACTTTAATATCGTCGACTATTTTACTACCATCGGTGAGAGTATTTGATCTCTCACGTTGTTCAGTGTATTCAATATCACTTTCAGGTACTGCTTTAGTATAATAAGGAGCGCCATCTTCTATATTATTGTCATCATCTCGACTACTTCGATCATCGTCTAGCTTTTTATCAAACGTGAAGGCTTCCCCTTCTTTGGCTGGAGATGAAGGTCCTTGATCATGATCAGGCGATTTGTTAGCATCTTTATGCCATTCTTTGGGTTGGTTACTTCCGGCATTCCCCATTTAATATTCAACTAAGAAAATTTAAAAAAATTGTATTTGTAATTTAATACATAACATTCTTTAAAAAAATTACTTACATGGTTATATGTATGTAGGTTTGTTTTATTAATTATTATGTTTAACTTTGTTCAACAAATGAACAAAGCTAACAGAAGTGTGTGTCAAGTGTCAACACTGTCAGTCTAGTTGAGTATAGTTAGTACTTTTATTTTTCCAACTGGAAAGGTAAAAGTGTCATACCATACAGTCTAATGTTTTATTTAATTTTATTTTACTTTATTCATATATAAATAAAGTAAAATAAAAGTTTCTATGCATTTTTTAAGAAAATTCACAACATTTTTTAATATAGTTTATTTACATTTAACTAAAGTATGTAGATATCATTTTGTTCGATAACTTTTTGCCATCTTATAGGTAGAGACATGATCCCATTGCTATAGAAATTTTGGGGCTTCTGATCAAAATACCGCGACAATTGGTTTTGGCAATCCTCTCGTGATGCTAACCTGACACTACTTAAGAATTCTGAAGAGACCGAAACAGGTGGAAATCTGAAGGTGCAAGGTCAGGACTATACGGCAGATGCATTAACACCTCCCAGCCAAGCTCTCTTAATTTTTGCTGAGTGGCTAAAATTGTGCGAGGTCTAGCGTTATCATGATAAAAAACCACACTCCTTCTGTTGATTAATTCCGGCCGCTTTCTCTCAACTTCTTGCTTTAATCTCATCAGTTGTTCGCAGTAGAGTTCAGAATCGATGGTCCTGCCTGGTGGTAGCAGTCCATAATGAATAATGCCCTTCCAATCCTACCACACACACAGCATCAACTTGTTGCGAGTTAACTTGGGGTTCGCCACAGACTGTGAAGCCTGACCGGCCTTTGACCACGACCTTTTTCGCACGTTCTTGTCGAAGGTGATCCACTTTTCATCACTAGTTATCAGCTTCTTCAAAAATGGTGCGGTTTCATGACGTCGTAATAAAGAATCACAAATGAGTGCATTGTTCATTAGGTTTCTTTCAATGAACTCGTGAGGTACCCAAATATCGAGCTTTTTTGTGTACCCAGTTTTTTCAAATGCGCCAAAACTGTTTTGTGGTCAATTCCCAGTTCTTTAGCTACGTCATAACTACTGATATCTAACCGATCTTGCTCCACTTTTTCAAAAATGGCATCCATTTTATCCGTAATAGGGCGGCCAGAGCAACGTGCATCTTTGACATCACCGGATTGAAACCGCTTAAACCAAATTTGTGCTACTCTCACAGACATTGTACTAGGTCCATAAACATCGCAAATTTTTTTCGCGGCTTGCGTTGCATTTTTACCTTTTTTGTAGGAAAATTTTCAAACGTATCGAATTTCTTCATTAGATTCACTCACCTTGACAGTACGAAAAATAAATAAAAATCACACATTTTCCTAATTTGAATTTGGAATTATCTTCTTTAAAATTTAAACTTTTAATGATACCACAACCAGCCAGATACAAATAGTATAGCCAAAGAGATTTTATTACAACTTCATACATATAATGCGAAAAGACTTTTTTCCCCAATGAAAAATGGTAATATGAAGTGAAATGAAGTTGATTAATATGAAACATGGCATGAAATGAAATGAAATGAGACGATATGGTATGAAATATAATCTCAGTATAATGATGGTCATTGACTGAGACCAAAAGATTAATCCTCGACACATTTAACTTGCTCTCAGTCGATATGCTTTTCCTACGGATCGAAAGGTATCTCATATTGTAAAATCTATCATCAGAGAGAAGAAATGTGATTTTAGGTACCCATTTAATTACCTACCTACCTTCACCTACTTACTACCTACCTTACCTACTTTGCTATCGTAACTCTATTAGAACACACGAGATCACCTGGCTGATGAAACTGGCAAAGCCTCCGGATCACCAGTAGTTTAATAGTACTTTTTTCCCTACCTATTGACTGGTAGCCTTGGCAGAAATTAACAGAATGGTGATATTTACTTGTACTTTCATAGCATGTTCTTCTACAAATATTTACTCATTAAGTTTTCTTTACTTTGAACGACTTTTTTTTCCAGCCAGTCCGAGTGACGGTGCTAATTTTCGGACGCCAAGACCCACTTTGAAGGTCATAGCGCCAACGCACTAGTAGTAGTACATCTGCCAACCGTCCTGCGATGGCTCACAAGTTTTTTATATTACAAAATGGCAATGGGCTCTTGCTATGCAGTTTATTTGCAATTTTAAAAGGCTAAGTGGACCATTTGTGTATTGTCTACGTCACAGTTAATTTCTCACATAAATGCTTTCAATGATAAAATACTAGTAACTATTATACTGAGACCTTAGAACTTATATCTCAAGGTGGGTGGCGCATTTACGTTGTAGATGGTTATGGGCTCCGGTAACCAAAGTGGCCTGTGAGGTCGTTCAACTAAACAATAAAAATAAAAATAAAAAATCTTTATACATTCCTTCAAACTTTTACGATCCGCCAAAGAAAATCAGACTCAATATTAATTAGTAAAAGTTTTTTTACCATTAAAATTATTTATTTAATTTGTTCCTTTTGTTTATTTACTGTTGTTTCGGATTAAAATGTGTAATAACTGTGGTTTATTATGAGCTTAGCATCGGTGAAAGTGCACCAGTTTGAAAAAAATAAACAAATCCCTTGGACATACCTTCTCTGGTTCTTTACTGAGACCTAATTTCGTTACATCTCATCTAGTTTCATTTCATTTCATCCCAGTTGATTAAAGTATCAAATTAATTCAGCTCCTTTCGTTTCATTTCATTTTTCATTTATTAGAATCTAAGAAAAAGACTAGACTTAAAGGTCCCGTTGCCATGCCACAAAATCTTTAAGAAAAACATTAGTTACATTTGGTGAGCGCTGAGCGGCTGAGCGCAATTATTTTCATAGGACAAGTCAGGCAAAGCAAAGCTGAGAGTGCGATCCAGTGCAATGAGTGCAATCAATGAGCTGAAGTAATGAACTATAGCTCTTAAAATATAATAATAAAATTACGATTACATCGCTTATAGTTCCAACAAAAAATACACTTAATAATATTATGCTCTCTTAGGAGAGTATTACCTATATTTTTTGGACTAATATATTGAATATAGGCCAATCTGATTCTTAATAATACAGCGTTAATTTACATATATTTTTCTCAATCTCGAGACTAATAATTTGAATAATTTTATGTTTATTAATTTCATAAAACATTGGTGTGACTACTCGTATTCAATTAAATAACATAAAAAATTAATGAAAAGTGTCTACTTCACAAAAACGTTAAAATTAAATTGAAAGCTATGAGCGATGAAAAACAGCCACTCCTAACTGGACCAAACAGTCCAGAAAATGTAATTGAAATACAATCAGCCGAACCAGTGATAAATGATGATGGTCCTTCAACTGAGAAAACAAAAGGCGACTATTGCCCTGCATCAGAAAGGTGTTTAGAATATCCAACATCAAACTTTGATACAATGATTCATCTTCTTAAAGGTAATATAGGAACGGGGATACTAGCTATGCCTGACGCCTTCAAAAATGCGGGACTTATTTTTGGTAAGCAAAATTACGATTTTTTATTGCTTAGATAGGTGGCGAGCTCACAGCCCACCTAGTGTTAAGTGGTTACTGGAGCCCATAGGCATCTATAACGTAAATGCGCCACCCACCTTGAGATATAGGTTTTTATTTATTTATTTTTTATTGCTTAGATGGGTGGACGAGCTCACAGCCCACCTGGTGTTAAGTGGTTACTGGGGCCCATAGACATCCACAACGTAAATGCGCCACCCACCTTGAGATATAGTTCTAAGGTCTCAAGTAAGTTACAACGGCTGCCCCACCCTTCAAACCGAAATGCATTACAGCTTCACGGCAGAAATAGGCAGGGTGGTGGTATCTACCCGCGCGGACTCATATGAGGTCCTACCACCAGTAATTCTAAGGTCTCAGTATAGTTTCAACGGCTGCCCCACCTTTCAAACCGAAACGCATTACTGCTTCACGGCAGAAATAGGCAGGGTGGTGGTACCTACCTGTGCGGACTCACAAGAGGTCCTAGCACCAGTAAACAGTAAATAAATGTATTATTAAAACCTTAATAAATTTTTCATTAGTCTTGTGGGAGTAGACCAAAATAGTTTTACTAGTATTAGGGTGTATTATGAACCCAAACATAAAATTCCATATTGCCTTTTTCTGCTATAAAGAAGTTACACCTTTTGGTTTTAAAAGTAAAGCCAAGTATACAAACCAATTAAGATTTCGGTGTCATCTCTTAGAGTAGGCATTCACATTGTGATTTTAATGGGCTCTAGTAATCACCACCTTGGCTTACTATGAAGTTGTTTGCCTGTTTATGAAATAAATAAATATAGATTAAATGATGCAGTTATGTGAAATGGCCAGCAACTAGTCATTGATACATTAAGTTAAAGTAAGTTTACTTTTAAATATTGCTATTAATAGGAAATTACAACATCAGTTCTAAAATATTGAAAGAAAGCTCTAAAGAAATATTGGTAATATTTTGCTATAATTTGGAAGCCTAATTTTAAATTTAAATAAGCTTTTCTGTGTTGTTAGTGGTAATAATGGATTATTTTTGGTACTTCACAGTACTGATGTTAATAACCGTTGGATACTTTCTAAGTCATACTTTTTGATAAATATAAATAACTATATTATCCACAAGCAAATTAATAAAATTATTGCAGTAATAGTGCAGTGTCAGTAAAGTAACATTAAAAAACGACAAATAATTGAATAAAGCTAATGTTTTGGACATCAAAAATTGCTTTCACTATTATGGGCATAACTTTAATTTATTTTCAGTCAGATGTCCCTAAATATATAGAACAGTTTAAAAAAATGTATTTCACTACTTTGTAATATGAAAAATATTTAGGCTGTCTCTGTAACCTAAACCATACATACCATACTGTGAGCAACTATTTGAGATAATTCCATAATTTCCTATTTGTCACTGCACCATCTACAACCAGAGTAGTGTTAAATCTTACTAACTGGAACCACCAGACCAATTTATGGAGAACAATTCTGCCACATGGCTCCAGCATGAACTATTCTACAATAGAGGTTTGAAGAGAGAGTCACCTGCACCAATTCATAAAGTCAAATTTAATTACACAGCACACCTCAAACTTACCAGCAGTAAATTCTTTATCCAGTTTTAATGATCTCCACAATTTCAATTCAAATTGTCTAATGAAAGTTGAATACCTAACTTCATAATTTTTTAAGGTATTCTAATAATGATTATTTTACCTTCTACAACTTGTTTTATTTTGAAATGTATTACTTCAATTATTTTTTTACCATAAACAAAAAATACTTCCATCTTCTGAAATTAAATAAACACAAATACAAAAAAAGAGAAAGCAAAGAAAAATATGTCAAAAGCTAACAGTGATTCATTCTTCAATGAATAAATATTGCCAGTCCAGTCATAAATCGCAGATCCAACTCGAGTACAGATAAATTTATGTGGGATCTGTAGGTAATTTAAATCTAGTAGTGTTTAATTTAAAAAAAATATTTCAGGTGTATTTTGCACGTTGATTATGGGTGCTATGTGCACTCATTGCATGCACATATTAGTACAGTGTTCTCATGAACTATGCATAAGAAGTGAAAAACCAGCTTTGAGCTTCTCCGAAGTTATTGAGGACTCGTTTTTGTCAGGACCGATTGTATTTCGACCATATGCAAAGAAAATGAGGTAAGCATAATAAACGTAGTAAAGTTATTATAAAATAATTCATTTTTCAAATTATTTTCAAATTTAAATCTTCATGGTGAGACCTAAATGTTAAGACATCATAAATTAGTAAAGTAAAGGTTCTAATTTGCTTGGTCAAACAGTTTTATATAAAGCGGAAGGAAACCCATCAGCTACCTAAGGTTTCGGGTTCGCGAAATATTAACTTCCGTCATTAAAGTCAGAATTTGTAAGACTCAATAATAATTTTCAGCTAGACACGCAACAATTCCTGCTTTATTCACAAATATTTTAGTCATATTTTATTCTTAATAATTATGATACGTGTTCATTCATTTAAATAAAGTCATTTCATATTTTTTATTTTAAGAAATGTCAAAGTTACAATACATAACGAATTTCAATAAATTAATCAATTAAAAAAAGAAAAATATTCTTGGCCGGCTCAAAATTGCCACGGACTATGCATAATACCACCAGTGATGTCACTGCAAATCGATTGTACATGCTGTTTTAATATTACTTGGCACAACGGGAATAGTAATGAAATATGACATCAGCGATCTACTTTCTTTAGCTTTTAACCTACATTGTATTGAGCAGGCTAGTTTTTCAGATAACTTCTCTACAATAAAATTAGATATCGTTTAGTAAAATTTGTTGAATTGTAGAAATTGTGGCACTCAGTGTAAAAACATATCATGTCTGTATTTTGTAAAGTAATTGAATAACGTTCTAACTCCGTGATCTCATTAATGACTCGCAAATCATTTTATGAATGAGGATTAATGTTATCTTCGAAAATATCTGTAATACAATGTAACAATTAATTGTCATGAAAATTTTAATAGCAGTGTAAGTAGTTGGGCATTTTTTAAATTGAAAATAGTTTTTTACCGAAATTCTTGATAATTACCCAAAATTAAAATGGGCATCATTAATTTGGTGTGTACGAATTTCAATAACCGCTCAATACAAGCAGGGTCAACTCTTAAGTTGTATGAAAAATGCACGTCATTACGGATCCTCCTGATCCATTAACGGTGCTTTTAGGCACCACAAGCACCGGTCACCGTCCTCTTCGAACCCGTCGCTTGCGACGAAAGGCCCGACGAGCGAATTAACCCATAGACACAGCCCACTGAGTTTATCGCCGGATCTTCTCAGTGGGTCGCCTTTCCGATCCGATGGTAGATTCTGCGAAGCACTGCTCTTGCTAGGGTCAGTGTTAGCAACACTCCGGTTTGAGCCCTGTGAGCTCACCTACACACGTTAGGGTGAAGCTGAATTAGCTTCTCAAGCATATCAGCATAGGTAGGAAAAAAGAAAAAAAAAAGAAAAAAATGAAAAGAAAAGGGTGTGGGGAAAGCGTGATAAAAGCAGTACTCATAGAATTAATGGCCCTAACAACAGCGATCATAAAATGGGTCGTCTGCGACTATCGTTTAATTGACATTGTAAAAGTAAAAGTCAATAGAAACAGTTTGCAGTCAATTGCAATTGGTATTGTTCTTTACAATACACAATACATTGGTTATTGTTTCAAATGTTTTATGCCAAAGTCACTTGTGCACTCAAAGCATTTTTTATCTCATCATCATTATTGTGTTTTGTTTGATTCGAACATATTATGTATTTCCAGAAAAATCCAACAAAATTGTTTTACGTCGATAATCTGTAATTTGATATTTCCGTTACTGTCGTTTAGCTATACAAAATAATTGCCTTGTGATAAATATTTTCATAAGATTGAACTAGTATGCACAGAAATTAGTTATTATGGTTAATAAACGACTTAAATAGTCATTAAACAACCGTACATTTTAAATAAAATAAATTTATATAACGATGGAACCTAAAACTATCGTAATGTTGAACTAGTAAGCAAATTTAAACATTTTTATTTGATAAATCAATTGATCATTTGCTTATTTATAAAGAACAAAATTTTCCACTTTTTAAGTAATTTATTTTTAATGACATTTATATTTGTCGTACATATTATTTGTTTCAATTGTGCTGTTCAAATAGAAACAGAAAACATTTTATAATACTAGGATTCATGCTTAAATCGTTTTTTCTAGAATAAATCAGCAAAAGAATTCTATTATAATACATATTTTATTATGCATTGTATTCTATTATAATAATAATAATTCTACTATTGACGTAGTCGTGACCTAAAGGTTATGATGTCTGGTGCATTCTTGTGGAACGATGCACTGGTCTTCGAATCCCAGGCGGGTCATTCCCGATCCTGTGGAAAGAATGGAAAGCAGTCGACGTCGCCCAAAACACGTCATCTCGGATCCTCCCGATCCACTAACGGTGCTTTTAGGTACCTCAAGCACCGGTCACCGTTCTCGTCGAACCTGTCGCTTGCGACGAAGGGCTCGACGAGTAAATTAACCCTCAGACACAGCCCACTGAGTTTCTCGCCGGATCTTCTCAGTGGGTCGCGTTTCCGATCCGGTGGTAGATTCTGCGAAGCACGGCTCTTGCTAGGGTTCGTGTTAGCATTGTCGTCAGGTTTGAGCCCCGTGAGCTCACCTACTACTTATGGTTACGCTGGAATAGCCTCTCAAGGCTACCAGCTTAGGTAGGAAAAAAAAGGCGGGTACCAATTTTTCTAATGAAATACGTACTCAACAAATGTTCACGATTGACTTCCACGGTGAAGGAATAACATCGTGTAATAAAAATCAAACCGCAAAACTATAATTTGCGTAATTACTGGTGGTAGGACTTCTTGTGAGTCCGCACGGGTAGGTACCACCACCCTGCCTATTTCTGCCGTGAAGCAATGATGCGTTTCGGTTTGAAGGGTGGGGCAGCCGTTGTAACTATACTTGAGACCTTAGAACTTATATCTCAAGGTGGGTGGCGCATTTACGTTGTAGATGTCTATAGGCTCCAGTAACCACTTAACACCAGGTGGGCTGTGAGCTCGTCCACCCATCTAAGCAATAAAAAAAAAACAAACACACACATATTATAATAAGGCTATTAAAATTATTTCATTACTTAGCTATAGGTAACATATTATTATTATCTTAATGGCGTGAAGGTCTTTTACTTGAACACAAGTCTAGGTAAATAATTTAACTCCTCTAATTCAACTCGAGTTTGCCCAATTAATGAAATACGACGATCATAACCACATCCATATCAATTTTGCTGCAATGCTTTTTATCTTTTGTTTTGGATATGTTGAAGAAACATATTTTTTTATTACATGAGTCTACTACCTGATCCTATAAATATTAAAACTCCGATGCTACCTCCTACTTAAAACACGTGGTGGAAGTGTCAATTTGCATTAACATAACGGTGATCCCGCCCTAAAGAGCAGAACACATGATTCCTTCATGACAGACATAGGGAGGACGCTGGTACCAGTGAGTGATCTGTATCTGTCTAGGCCAGCGGTCGGGGAACTTTTTTAATTATTACCCCAAAATATTTTTGTGTAAGTTGATATTACTCCATGGCGAAGAACAAAAAAAATAATAAAATTGCTTCTTTTTAGCATCTTTTAGAATCTTTTTAGAATCTTTCAAATTATAGCCCCCATGATAATTTTGAAAAGAAAACAATAACTAAATTTTTTATTTAAACATCATTTATTCAATTTATCAATGTAATACCTAGTAATACATAACGGTAATAAATGTTTTTTTTCGAGTTTCAATCACTTCAATATATACTTTTTACTCACAAAAGTTTCATTTTTACAAGTTTCAAGTTTTTTTCAAGTTTCATTTGGGATAAAATGAAATTTTGAGGGAAATTTAATTTACCCCGGTTCCCCGACCGCTGGTCTACGCCATAAGCTTGTCTGAACGTTTATATAAATATCAATCATAAGCATATTTTAGGCAGTGATGCACCAAATTATGATCAACTCAAATTTTGTTCTATTCATATAGCACAACTCTGTTGCATGTTGCACGAATATGATGTTTGCAACTTAAATGCTGTCGAAATTATATAATTTTAAATAACGTTTAATTAACGCATTAATTATTGATTGTTTCAGGGCATTAGTCAATATATTTCTCGTTATAACACAACTGGGATTTTGCTGTGTGTATTTTTTATTTGTCGCTACTAACCTTCAAGATACAATGCATTTATTTCGTATAAATCTAAGCGTACATTTGTACCTGACTCTGTTATTTCCGCTAATCGTCGCATTAGCTATGGTAAAAAATTTAAAATATTTGACACCAGTGTCTCTGGTAGCATCCATAATGACAGCTTGGGGCCTAGCTATCACGTTCTACTATATTCTTCAAGATTTGCCGCACTCTAAAGAAGTGAATCCGATAGCCACATGGCACCAGTTACCATTGTATTTCGGTACAGCAATATATGCGTTCGAAGGAATTGGAGTGGTAAGTTTCCATCGACCTCGATAAGCTAATTACTATATGATTCCTTTGAACTGTAACGTGCACTACGCTTCCACCACATTTGATTGCTACGTATTGTAGTTAGTTTTTATTAGGATTCACTATTTATAGGAATGAATAATAATATGTAGTTTAATATCGTGCTTATTTTAATCATTTGGCGTTTTGAAAAACTAGAGTTTTCGTGATTAATTTAATTGGAATTCATGAAATAAGATGTGGTCTGGTCACGCACACCGTATTTCCTGATTAGGTTTCCGTATCAGGATTTCCGAATTTAAAGATTTTAGATTTTAAATAATTTAAAGATTTTGATATTTTGTTGGGTTTTCACGAATCGTATACTTTATAGATATAATTACAACTACTTTTACGGTTTAGTCTTAATGAAATATTTTAATTCGAATATACCGAAAATACGAACGGATGTGCTAAGGACAAAATTTTATTCAATATCTTTGAACCACCACCCAATTCCTGATCTGAAAATTTAATAATGAAATCGGATGTGTCATAGCCGTAAACAGTTTGTTTAAGGAACATTTTAAGCTTAATAATCGTAATATTTACATCCACCATCCATTAAAGTTAAGGTTTTTCACAGGTATTACCTCTGGAAAATAACATGAAAACTCCTGAAGACTTTGGTGGATGGAACGGCGTTCTGAACACGGGTATGGTCATAGTGGCAGCTCTGTACACCGCAGTTGGATTCTTTGGTTATTTAAAATACGGAGACAGCGTTCAAGGTAGCATAACTCTGAATTTACCGAATACTTTGTGAGTATAATTTTTGTGTTTTATAGTTTAAATGCGCGTTTTACTCATAGGGCATTTTGTGATCAGAAGCACAAGGACTAATATAAACATTCAGCTAATTTTCAGCAACAAAATATATATATGTATTTCGGCTTCACGGGTGAAATAGTAGCAATATTCGTACATACTTCAAACTGAAAAGAAACGCTAATATATGTGGAGTGATTATTTTTTACGGGTTTCAAATTTTATATACCTTTTCTTTATTGCATAAGTGAGTGAACTAGCTCACGACTCACCTGGTTTAAGCAGTTACCGGTGTCCATGGACATCTGCAACGTAAATGCCGCCACCCACCTTGAGATATGAGTGCTAAGGTCTCAGTATAGTTACATAGGCTGTCCTACCCTTCAAACCGAAACGCATTACTGCTTCACGACAGAAATGGGTAGGGTGGTGGTACCGACCTGTGCGGACTCACAAGAGGTCCTACCGCCAGTATTTATGCACATTATAATTTTGCCGGTTTGATTTTTACTACACGATGTTATTCCTTCACCGTAAAGTCAATCGTGAACATTTGTTAAGTACGTATTTCATTAGAAAAATTTGGTACTTGCCAGCGGGATTCAATCACTGGTGTATCGCTCGATACAGATGCACCAGACATCTTATCCTTTAGGCCAGGACGACTTTTCTGGTCATGAAAGTAATTTGCGAAGAGTTTTTTCTGTTAGATTGAGCATAATTAGGCCACGTGGAGCACACGATGGCATTAATATTTCAGATGAGAGACGTAGCTTCGTCCTCTTAATAATAATATTTATATTATATAATACTAGGTAATATTGTTTGTGAACGCTAATTACTGAATGACTGAACCAATTTAGATGTGGTTATCAGTGACGTAGTATGTAATAGGATAAGAACAACAAGTTTCTCGTCGGATCTTCTCAGGGAACCGCGATTCCGATCCGGTAGTAGATTCAGCGAAATATTGCCATTGCCAGGGAAGGTATTAGCCTCTCTCTCAGGTTGAGCCCGTGAACTCACCTACAGATTAGGCATGGAAAAAAAACTGCAAAGAAAAGAATACAAGTAAAAAAACAAGTAATAAATAAAATTCAAACTGCTTTAGGCTTACGGTTATGTTTATCAAAACTCAAATATATTACATTAAGAAAGAGGACGTATTTCAGGTCTGATCTATAAATTCAGAATGAGTACCATAAAATACTCATCGTTTTTTTTTTATTCTTTATTAGATCTATTATACAGCTATTAGGTTAAGCCGGCAATACTTAGCGTTACTGACAAAAAATATACATTTTAATATGATTAGAAAATTTTAAGGATAAAACACGCGAAACTTATAGTCATAATAACTTCGTTTTCAGATTGGCGCAAAGCGTTCGTTTTGTGATGGCAGCTGCTATATTTTTGTCTTACGGCCTTCAATTTTACGTGCCAATGAATATTGTTTGGCCCTACGTGAAATCTAAGCTTTCATCAGAAAATGCTTTAAAGCACGGCGAGGCGATGACCCGTATCGCCCTAATTTCAATAACGTGTAAGTATACAGTTTTAACACGGTACAATTAAAAAAAAAAAAAAATTAACAGCAGAGTTAAAACTTTATGATACGTGCAAAACTTCTATGTTATCTAATTTCGAAATGTTTTTAATATACCAATCCAAAAACACTAAATAGATTTTATATAAAAATAAATGTTGGGTAAAAGCAAACGCGCGAATTAGACTCGAAATATTAGGGTTGAGAATTACCATTTTATTATTATTAATTTGAAGTTTCAAATTATATGTCCTTTATTGTCACTGTGATACCTTGTGTGAAGAATTTATGTGTAACATTAATGGATCATAAAAATTCTAACCAAGAAGCCGCGTAATAATATATTTCCTCCATTGTCTAGTCTCTCGAGTCAAATACCAAAAAATGGAACACAATAACTATTGTTTTTATGGGCTGGTACTCAAAGACCATAAATAAAATTTAATAGACTGGATCTAAATAGCGAAGAGATGGATGTATCGCGTGCCAATTAAAAAAAATATACGAATATCTAAGAATAAAAAAAAAGTTTGACAATATCTTTGAATAGCTTCAATTGTAGTCCGACACATATTTGCTAGGTTTTAACATTAATATCCATAACATTCATTCCAATCCATTTTACCATATCTGTTCTTAAGTCGAAGCGAACACGCAATTCGTTTTGTAAGGCCAGGATTGCATTAATATTTGTTCCAAAGCGACATTTCGTAATGAGAGAACAATAGGTTAGAAAACAGGTTGACGATAACAGTAGCAGTTCGAACAGACCAAGCTCACGTACCTACTCGTCGTATCATGTAATTGGCAAATAGAACGTTTCCAATTTATTTACTTTTATAGTACTACTTCTTTACAGTAATATAATATTTTCTTAGTTATTCACATTTAAAAAAAGAGAGACACACACTTGAATTTCAATTCATTGGCCAACATATAAAATCGGAGAATTTTTGTTGTAATTGATGATATCAGAGGCCTATATTACAGACCTTCCGTTGACAAAACAACACAATCTCGTTCACACGCCAGATAAATTATACTAGACAAAATATTTGGTGATAAAACGCTACGTGTAGAGAGCGTACCCTCGTCTGACCTGTGCCTTATCTATTTATTAGTGGAACGTACTCTCCCCAAACATTGTCCAAGTTTGTTGTTGAAATAATACTAACATTGTATTTCAATCGAGGCAAACTTTTCCACAACTTTGAGGAGTACAGATAATAACATTCAAGTTGAATTGCTACGGACCAGTTTATGCCCCCGATCTTTTTTCTTATTTATTGCTTAGAAGGGTGGACGATCTCACAACCCACCTGGTGTTAAGAGGTTAATGGAGCGCATAGACATCTACAACGTAAATGCGCCACCCACCTTGAGATACGAGTTCTAAAGTCTCAATATAGTTACAACGGCTGCCCCACCTTTCAAACCGAAACGCATTACTGCTACACGGCAGAAATAGGCAGGGTGGTGGTACCTACCCGTGCGGACAAACACAAAACGGAAAACAGCTAGTGCATGCATATAGTAAAAAATAGTATAATTACAGTACAATCACACGTTTTCAGTGTGTATAACAAATCGGTGTCAGGTTCCGAGCTTATCGTATAATATTAATCGTCGTTGTCACACAAACAGTACTAGCATTAACCTATTTATCACAGTTTTGGCTGCAGCGATGATTCCAAACTTGAGTGGAATAATTTCATTGGTGGGCGCCTTCAGTAGCTCTGCGCTCGCACTCATATTTCCACCACTGATCGAGATCATGACGTTTTGGCCGGATCAGCTCGGGAAAAACGATTGGAAATTTTGGAAAGATATCGTCATTATTGTTTTCGGTGTAACAGGCTTCCTGTTCGGTACTTATACTAGTATAGAGAATATATTAATAAAATCTTAAATTATATTAAATTTTATTACAATTCTATATAATCGAATAATGACATGAATAACTAACTACCAAAGATTTATTATGAATATAATCATGACAATAAAATTTTGTAGCGTTCTGCTTTTGTGGCTATTATTATTATGAAACGTTAAATATTCTGAATATGATAAGAAAAAATATAAAGTAATATATAATATTATGATGTATTACTACTAGATTAAATAATATTATTTTGACTTAGATTTTAATATGCATAATAGAAAAAGATTATGATAAAAAAAAACTAGTACCTGGCTGTTTAAAATGTTTAATAACATTATGTAACATAATGTGATATACTTTGCGAATGTAAATGTTTTACTTTTATTATTTTTTATAATACTGTTCTAATTTTATTAAAGTTTATATTTTATTTTATTACTGTTAGTACGTGACTATGTGATAATTACATAAAATGTAAAACATTAATGGTTTACTGTTATTAATTTTATTAGTTCATATTATTTAACTAACGTCTTCGTTAATTGTTCATTATAACCACATTGTGAAGCTGTTTCTACATTTGTATTTATATTCTCTGTCTAATTGACGATCTCGTAATAATTTGGTTATTATTAATGGCTCTAACTAAACACTCGGCAAATGAAAATTTGGTTGAATTTCTTTTGTAACAACTGCATAAAATGTCATAATATCATAGGATTGCATAATAATTTTTGACACTAAAACACNAATTGTTCATTATAACCACATTGTGAAGCTGTTTCTACATTTGTATTTATATTCTCTGTCTAATTGACGATCTCGTAATAATTTGGTTATTATTAATGGCTCTAACTAAACACTCGGCAAATGAAAATTTGGTTGAATTTCTTTTGTAACAACTGCATAAAATGTCATAATATCATAGGATTGCATAATAATTTTTGACACTAAAACACATAACGCACCGTTTTTTGTCCAATATTATGACTGTAAGAAAAATCTTACGTCGATGACTGCAACTACAATGCACAATCATAACATTTTCACATCCGAATCCCACGTTTGTGGAGGTACAATGTAAGATTTAGAATAATGTATGAACCATTTTTATTGTATGGGTCATGATATAATATTATAGCTAGATTATGTATTAGCCTGCTATTTATGTGTATTTAAATATAGAATTTCTTATTAAATGTCATCATAGTATGACTGTCTTAACAAAATTTGCTGAATATTTATTCTAATTACAATAAAGTAATTTAAATTGTATATGTAATAAGATCTAAGTAATATTACATTTTGAAAATATTTTAAATGTGAAAGATAAAACGACGGATTTATTTTCGCATATAAAAAAGATATTTGACGAGTTGAGATTAGACACTGACTGTTATAGTATTCAGAGAACATATTGTTTTCTTTAGATATAATCTAAAATTGCATTTATAAATCTAAATTCGTTCCTGTTACTGTTGAAATTATTTTAAGCTTACATAATTGTATATCAAAGCTTACAAATATCTTATTTTAGTTAGAACGATTGTATGTATCTGTCGTTTGTTAAAATATAAATCTAACCCATTGGACGGCATGAGCTATTAATATTATATTATTAAAACAAAATTATGTGTGTTAACCAATTCGATTTAGTCATTTCATAATAAGCTCGTGAAAAGAAAATGCAATTGTGCTTTTGTTTTAAAAATATACGCACTAAAAAATTAATGCTGTTTTATTTTATGCTCCTAGTAAATTCGATCAAATATTTGATATTCTCGCAAATATTGCATTAGGTACGTTGTCCACTGGTATTAAATTATCAAATGGTAATGTAACTATACTGAGACCTTAGAACTTATATCTCAATGTGGGTGGCGCTTTTATGTTGTAGATGTCTATGGGCTCCAGTAACCACTTAACACCAGGTGGACTATGAGCTCGTCCAGCCATCTATGCAATAAATAAAAACAATTCCGTTAATGATCCCAAATCTGGGAATCTGATTAACGCGTACTTATTAGTAACTTAAAACATAATTTTGATAACTAATACTGATTCTTGTTGAATGACAAATGAAAAACATGCAGTCACGCATATCATGGCATACACATGCTTTTATATGATTACTAGCTAACCCGGCAGACTTCGTAGTGTCTCAATCGATAAATAAAAGACTTAAACTTTTGTATAAAATAAACTTAAAACAAATAAAAGGAATCCGTCCGACAGGGGACACATCAAAGGAAAAACAAAATTGTTATTTTTATTTAATTCCGAGCAATTCATATTTATCTACCTTTTAAACCTTCCCTGGACTTCCACAAATAATTCAAGACCAAAATTAGCCAAATCGGTCCAGCCGTTCTCGAGTTTTAGCGAGACTAACGAACAGCAATTCATCTATATATTTAGTCAATGGATTGTGTCTGCGAAGCTAGAACTAGAACTAGTTTTAACAAACTCAGGTTGAGCCCGTGACATGAGCTCACCTTCCCGTCCGGGCTTAGCCGGAATAACCTCTCAAGCTACTAGCGAATAGGTAGAGAAAATAAAAAAATGAATTGTGTGAAAATATAATAATAATACGTAAAGGTACAAGGTTCCCTGTATTTGTTAATCAGTGAAAAGAGAATTTAACAAATTAAAGGCTGCCTTCCGGACCTATGAAAGATAAAGGCAGTAACGGGGATAATTAACTTTGGGTGTGTTGACATATAGTCGGCTATTGGACGCACGTATAGTGGTATTACAATAAAATAAGAATAAACTACAGCTCGACCAAGCTAAGCTTGCACCTCGCATCGATTACGTCACACTGCCACTTAGGTACGGTCTGAAAAAAGGATTCGCTATGACTTTAAAAATGTAAACAAATGTTTGTTAAATTTTACTTTGCATTTATTGTTTTTAACAATATATTATACATAGGTACATTAGAATATAGCGATATCGGGTTTTGTATTAAGATCACCCAGGCGTTCTTGCACTTTTTAAATTTATATCCCAATTGCTCAGTAATAATTTTCCTTTATGTTTCTTTTTCAGGATTATGTTTCACCTTTCCTTTCATTTTGTTGCCCTTACTCTTGAAGTAAAAAAATAACGTTAAGCGGTCAGTAACAACAGTTCAACAAAACCTTAACAAAAATAGTCCAATAATATAACTTAACTTCAACAAAAAACCTAACAAGAACAGTTAAAAAATTTAAAATTCAACGTATAGGGGGACGAAATCTCGTATGACGCGTGTCGGCGACAAAAATGCTAACCGTACTGACTCGAATATATTAAGTGTATAATCTATGGTACTGACGCGACAGGGCGATCGCGGGAAGGTGAGCGGGGAAGCGGGCGGACCGCCACATTCCAGCGAGGTGCAAACTTAGCTTGGTCGAGTTGTATATTACCCGTAACTATAGTTTTGATTATGTTCACTACTTGAAGTAGTCGTGGCCTGCGGGATACGACGCACAGTGGGTCGATACTATGATTTGAGTGACTTAGGGACCAACTTTGTTTTTTAACAAATTTTTTTACGTAGATAGATAGAGCTCGTTAATCTCAATAATAATTGTTTTGGGCAAAAATTACAAAAACTTTATAGTTTGGTCAGAAAAATGTGTTTTGTGTTTTTTTTGTATGGAGCGGGTCACATTAAATTAA